TAATTGTCGAAACAATTCATATCCTTTCTCAATACATATACTCCTTCCGTCCCATAATTATTGTCCAGTTTGGGTTTTCATTTCTAGTTCAAATTGTACTAAAAGTGAAATCTGAAACTGGACAATAATTTTGGGACAGAAGGAGTATATTACAACCATTTTCCAAAATCACTGCCCAAATCAATTCGGAGTAATCAACTTATGATTACTACTACTGGAGCAGAGGAATCTTCAGTCCACCTTCATGTGATTTTGCGCAATGTAGATACAGCACCGTGTTTTTGAACGTAGATGACTAGCATAAAATGACTCAGAATCAAAGAGCCAATTAAAACGTTGAGCAGAATCAACCAATGATCAGATGACCAACTCAACCATTAATGAGGACCCAAACTCCGGAGAATGAACCAACTTGCTAACATAGGATAGAGTAGCAACAACAGAGCTACTTTCCTGTGTGTCTGAACCAAATCCGCACTCCTTTTCAAGGGTGTATATCCCATTTGGACTCCACCACAACAGCAGAGTAAGCCAATACCCAATTCACTTGAAACCAAACCAAAACAGCCAAAAACATCAACCCAATCACAATGATCAAAGGTGTGAAGTAAGAGCTTTGATGAACCCTTCTTAGAAATCAAAATCACCAAGACAGGAACCGGGCTGAGGATCAAAATCTCAATCAAATAAAACCAGAGTCGTTGAAAGGAGCGGCAGAAATGAGTGGAAGATTGATTTTAGAGATGAGATGAGGTCAACCGGGTCGCCCTTGTATAAGTGGTAAGTGCAGTATGAAATTGAGGCAAAAGCAAAGAAAGTGATGGTGGTGGAAAGTGGGTAGAAGAGACAGAGGAAGAAGAAATTATATGGGTTTTGGAGATTTTGGTTGAAGCTGTTTGATGATGGATCGGCCTGAATGAAATGGTAAAGGAACGAAATGAAAGAAAGAGGGAAAAGAAAGATGAAGGTAAGAGCTTGGAAATGGCGGTGGCGGTGATGGAGTCTGATGATTTGTTTCGACTCCGAGAGGATTTCGCAGAAGGTTACGGGTTGTTGATTATCATCATCAGAAGGAAGAGTAGGATGAGCAGCAGCCATGGAGAATTTGGCACAGGACTTGCAAGTTATACAGAGAGTTTTGTTCATCGGCTGATATATAATGCTACAAAGCAATTTGATTCTAAAGAGAGATTTTGGTTTGGTGTGAATCTGTGTCAGTTGATTTAGTCCTCCTTTTCCGAAACTTGGGTATGTTTGTTTCGTTGTGTTTTTATTGTGTGTTTTTAGGTATTTTTTGTATTGAGAATGGAAAAAAATGTATTGAAAATGTAAAAAAGTATGCTGAGATGGGACATTTATTATTTTATTAATCTAAAAAAACATAAAAAAAAAATAAACAAACAAAGCCTAGAATTGTTGATATTAATTGTAGTCAGTCATATTTATTTCGATTGAAGATTTACATCTGATTGATCACGAAGCTTGAATATTGACGAGCCCGTATTCACTAAGGATTATCGGACCGGCTCATTTGCTAATTAGGGCCTAACTAACCTTGCAAAGGCAATTCAGGAATAAGAACTCTAATGGAATTTAATTTCCCTCAAAGTAATTCCATGCCTATAAACAGGGTTTGGTTTCGCCCTAATAGAGGTACGTAATCTCTAGCAAACCTTACCATTCACAGATATTCTTTAAACCCTTTTGTAATTTAAGTATCGGAGTTTCTACCCTCGGGAGACCCCCAAGGCTCTCTTTTGTAGGAAATTCTAACCGGAGTTTTACTATTGAACCGGTGGAGGCAAACCAAGCTCCGTCAAATATTAATCTCCATTTTAGGGTGTATTTCGTTATATGACCTGGGAGAGCTGTAGAAGACCCCAACAAAAATGTACTAATGGGAGTGAAATCAACAAAGAGAAAAATAAAACTCATTTGCAGTTACGTTTACAAAAGGATGTTCTAGGGTCGTAAACTCGTAATTGAGGTACCAAAAAAATGAATATTTTAGATAAATACTATTTCCTCTGTCTCATAATTATGATCTAGTTTGGGTTTTCATTTTTAGTCTAATTTGTACTAGAAATGAAATCTTAAACTGGACAATAATTTGGAATGAGTGAATATTTTTTTCTATCTCATTTTATAACTTAATAATATGAATAATTAAATTGTGAGGGAAGGAGTTTGGAAGTTTCATTTCTGACATGGTCAGCAGACCATAAATAAATCATTATGATTTGAATGATTTCTGTGGAGGAGGCAATGCATAATCAGCAATATTCAAACAGTCGAAGTCAGTACCTCTTTTACCTGCAACAACTTGATCATATATCAACTTTGACTAAAACTGCCATCATTTATGTCACCAAAGTGACCAAAAATCCAAACAATTTATTCTACAGCCAAATGTGAACTCTCCCCTTGTCATAAATTATCTTCCGAAGATTTGCATTTTGTATCAAGACTTTAGAATTTTTCATGCATGGACTAGTCCTCCTTTTATCATTTTTTTTTTCTTTTTTCCACTATCTTTTTTTTTTTTTTTGGATAAAATAAGTATTCCTTAAAATCAAAAGAAAAAGTCTAAAGGAGAACATAACAGCTATAGATAAAAACAAAAAACAGCTATAGAATTGAAGACTTTCCTTATAAAATACTGGAGAATCGTTATGGAACGATGATACAAACACACCATATCAACAATCAAGAAGCAAATTTCTCTTCTATATACATATCCAAAAAAAAATAGTAATGTTTAATATACCATATATTACAAAATAGCAATTCAAAATTCAGGGCGTAGCAGATCATCACAACTTATGATTACTACAACTACTACTGCAGCAGAGGAATCTTCTCAGGAGGAATCTGGAAGATGGAAACATGTGATTTTCTGCAATATAAATACAGCACCGTAGTTGCAACATTGGTGACGAGCTGACATTGACTTAGGACAAAAGAGAAAGCTAAAAGGTATACCACAAACCACCATCGATCAGATGACCAACTCCGATCACCAGGAAGATAGTTCCAACTCCAGGTAACCAACCAAACTAGCAACACAACATACAACAGCAACGACAGAGCTACTCTCTTGTGTTTCTGAACCAAATCCGAACTCCTTCTCAAGGGTGCAAATCCCCATTTAGATTCCACCACAACCACAGAATAAGCCAATAACCAATTCACTTGAAACCATACCAAAACAACAAAAAATATCAACACAATCACTATGACCAAAGGTATGAAATAAGAGCTTCCATGAAACCAACTATAGGTTAGAATCACCAAAACAAGAACTGGGCTGAATGACAAAATCAAAATCAGACATAAAACTAGGTATGTGGAAACGATCGGCAGAAACGAGTGGGAGATTGACTTTAGAGATGAGATGAGGTCAACTGTGTCGCCCTTGTATAAATGGTAAGTGCTGTATGAGATCGAGGCAAAACCGGAGAGAGAGATGATGGTGGAAAATGTGGTGAGGAGACAGAGGAGGAGGAAGAAATGATATGGGTTTTGGCCACGGAAGATTTTTGATGGGTCGGGCTGAATATTTTTTTGGATGGATTGGAGAAGCAGAGTAATTAAGGAAAGAGGGAAGAAAAAGATGAAGTTTAGAGCTTGGAAATGGCGGTAATGGAGTCTGATGATGCGCTTTGACTCTGAGAGGACTTCGCTGAAGGTTATGGGTTCTTCTTGATCATCGTTACCAGAAGCAGGATTGAGATTAGCAGCAGCCATGGAGGATGATCAGATCAACAGCTGAAGATGCCACAGGACTAGTTCTACAGAGAGACTTGTTACTTCCGTGCTGATGATATATTAACAATACAGAGCAATTTGGTTATGAAGAGAGGTTTTGGTTTGGTGTAAATCTGTGGGAGTTGATTTAGTCCTCTTCTTCAATCAAAACTTGGAAATGTGAATTTATTGATATGAATTGTACTCAAGTCATTTAATAATTTGACTAAAGAATCAGTTGCATGAATGATAAGTTTGAATTTTCATCTCCAAAGGGGTCTCTTCATCTATTGCATCACCTTGTTACATGATATGGGCTAGCTGTACAAGACGGCAACTAAAATTATTATATGATAATTGATAATGGGAGTGAAATCTACAAAAAATGCAAATCATTTTCAGCAAAACGTGTTATTGTGCTCTCTCTTACGCATAAAAATTGTCCATGTTGACCATTGAGAATTGAAACTCAATGCGAACTTTTTCTGGAGACAGAGAGTATATCGTTACTTACATCTTATTTCAACATACCGAATAAAATAATTAAATTGGAATAGAAAAAGTTTGAAATTTCATTCTAATACGAGTCCGTGGACCATAAATAAATCATTGATAGTACAATGGTTCGATGATTTTTGTGGATGTGGCAATGCTTAATTAGCAATCAAACCGCTGAAGTCAATCTCCATATAACGCAAGACGTACTGTACCACAAACAGCTTGATACTACTATGATAATATATCAACTTTAACTAAACAGGCAAAATCCACCCAAACAATTAATTTGTGTGAGAAATTAAACAAACAAGATTCCACAACTAAATTTGAATTATTCCATCATCCTTTAAAGATCTGGCATATACCATGACTTGAGGATTATCATGCATGGACTAGTCTCCTTGTATCTATTTTAATTAATGTTTGGCGACAATTAGACTATGTTTGGTTCCTTTTTTCACTCATTTTTTTTAGAATTTTTAATTAATATCTATCCAATTCCAGCATACTTTTTTACATTTTCAATGCACCTTTTTATATTTCCAATATATCTTTTTACATTCTCAATACAAAAAAACACACTCAAAAAACCTTCCAAACATAGTCTTCCTTTCAAATATCAACAGACAAATAGAAGTGTTATGTACTCGTAGAAAATAGTAGAGAGTAAATAGTAATGAACAAATGGAACATCCAATTTCTGGTTCGGCCAATATGGTTATCATAGAGTATTTGATCTCACTCGTTAAATGTAGCATTTTGGCGGTGATACATACATGTATATATAGGTAGCCAGCGTGGAGGTCAAATGGGTCAATGCACAGTGGGATTTCTGGAACACTCTCCCGCACTCCACATGAATAGTGAATACAGAAAGGAAGTAGCTAGTTTGCTTAAGAAACTCCAAGAAATTTCTATTCCTACATGTTTTTTCTTTACCTTTTTTCAAATTTCTTTATAACTACAATCATAACAGTAGAATTGTATGCCTAACTTCAGCTCTCAGATTAATATATATATTCCACTAAGCTAACTTCAACTTCAATTTATTGTGTAAGAATTGAGATTATCCACAGGAACAGAGTCTGTCTGTCTGTCTGTCTGTCTGTCTTTTGAATTTTGGGATTTCAGCAATGTCTTTGGCTCGTTTAGTTTTGAGGAATTTGCAGCAGAAATCAGCACTTGCTTCTTCTTCCTCTGTTTTCAACTCTGCCCAGAAACAGAGACTGGGTACTACTACTACTAGTACTACTGCTACTTCTTCCGGATTCCGGCGATGGTTCTCATCAGCAGCAGCCGGCGAAGAAACTCCGGCCGTTAAAGAGGTGGCTGTCTCCGATCGTGACAGTAACAAAAAATTCAAACTTTTCCCAAGGAGTAGCAGTAAACGGGGAAGAAGCCTTTGGAGAAGAGACCCTCTTGATTTCCCTCCCGCCCTTTCTGGTAATTAATTCAATCAGAATTTTCTTGAATAATCATCAAATTATGATGGATTAATGTATCCTTTAATTTTAGGACTAGGAAATGCACTTGTTCAAGCAACAGAGAACATCAGCAAACTGCTGGGGAAGCTGTCACCTTCAGGGCTGATGGGAAGAGTGAGAAAGCAAGATGACTGCTACAAATTGCAGTACTGTGTTCCAGGGCTTACCAAGGATGATGTTAAGGTTTTTGTGGAAGATGGAGTTCTGATCATTAAAGGGTCACGAGTTGAGGAAGAACATGAATCTGATGATGATGCTGATGGTTGGTCGGGACTGAATTATTTTGGTTTTTATGATGCCAGCATAATGCTGCCTGATGATGCTAAGGTTGATGAAATCAAAGCTGAGATGAAAAATGGTGTTCTTACCATCGTCATCCCTAGAGATGAGAGGCTCAAGAAAGATGTCAAAGAGATCCGTGTCAGCTGATGATTTCGTGAATCTGTTTTCTTCTGCTCTTTTGAGAAAGAAAGGATTATGTATCTAACAACTCCGTTCTAAATTCTGTGTCTCTTATGTGTTTTCAATAAATCTGCTGTATCGAGTATCAAGTTTGCTTATATAGTAGTGGAATTGAGAAAGATGCGTTCAAGCAAAAAGCAACAAGATTGGAGTACTAAATCTATATCATTGTCAATACTCTATCAAAATTATTAGCTAGCTTCAGAGTATTCTATTCTGCGAAAAATCTGAGTGTGAGACTTTCTCTTCCAGGAAGTTTGCTCTAAAAGAGAATCCAACCAAGATCGCGCGTCCCGTCAATTTAATTACACTTCTGTCCTGTGTAGTTTAAATAAGGAGTCATACCCGCTACAACCAACAAGCTATCCGATGATTAGTTACATTGTCATTGTCCAGTTTAAATTTTTACCTTTAATTTAATTTGTATTAGAATTAAAATATTAAATCGGTCAATAATTTCAGACAAAATGAGTAATTTTCATTGTGTATTTTATATGTTTATTTTAATAATTGAGCGTTTTAAACTTTATTTATTTTAGAGATTAGAGTTCAAACTTTTTTTTTTTAAAAAAAAATTGAAATTTCAATTGCATTAATTGAAAAGGGGCATTGATACAAGAGAGCGTATGCAGTGTTTTGGTTCGTGTGTGCGTGTGGTTTTTTTTTCTTTTTGAGGTCAATGTTATTTTTTTTAAAAGTATCTGTATATTAATTAAGAAGAAGTACCTAAACTATTATAACACCTTTATAAAATGCTATATTATGTAATTCGAAGACATTTTGGCTGGCAGGTCAATGTTATCATTTCTCCTGCCTATTACCATTCCACTAATCATTTCTAGCTTTAGGTATGGAATGTTATCATTTCTTCTGCCTAGTATCATTCCACTAATCACGATAGACTCAACTAGGGTAAACTGTTAGGATTATTCTGACTAAATTTGTGTTTTACGATTTGAGAATTAGATGCGTTCGGCAGGGAAGGTCGAGGGAGATAGTAAAAACTAAAAAGTAGAGAATTGTGATTATGAGAAATCGAATCCCAATATCAAATGATGCAATAGATAAAAGAAAGTGAATAGATCAAACATTGTTATTTTTTTTTTACTCTATTTATTCTTTAAAATCCATCTAGTAAATCCCACTTAATGTGAGTAAATCCCCCATTATATCTTCGAACTCTGGTCTATTACCAAGAAAGACAGCAACCAAAACACTAATCTGTCATTCAATTCTTTTTTTTTTACTCTATAAATCATTACATAATTGAACAAATCATGTGTTTTTTTTTTAAAAAAAAAGAAGAAATTTTTTTTCATATATGTTGAAAATTGTCCAACTTCGTTTTATTAAAAGTTGCAGGCATATGCAACCAAATATTACAGTCATCCTTACTGTTTATAGAATAGCACAAAAATTGTAATACATGTAAAAATATAGGTAGTAGTATTTAGTTCTCTTCATGTTTCAGACGCAATAATCATCTTAGAACAGGAAAAGTGCTAATAATGGCTTCTTCTCTCGATCATTCTATCTTCCAAATTAATATCAGAATCGATTTTGATTCCACTCCCCCACCAATTTTGCATACATTCTGCAAATTATTCTCATCGATGCTGACATAATGATCACATCCAATGGCGGAACCAATAATTAGTTTTTTTATTTTTTATTTTTTTTATAATTGGACTTGGATCTCATCCACCAAAGCCCACAGCACAAACAAAAACAAAAACTGTTCTCTCAAGACGGGCGTGGAAAATTCCGAGATACCCACTCAATATGGGCCCAAAAAAGGTTTCAATCAAACCCAAAAATTTAACCTTCCATTTCTATCCCTGGTATTGATGACTCATCCACCATTCAAACTCAGCATTTCATTTCAACAATAATCGTTACAGTATATTTCTCCCCCATTAATCAGCTCCAAAATTCACACACAGTCACACAGTGTTCATGTCACTCACCGAAATCAATCCAAATCCTTTCGACTAGACCGAAATTTTCATTCCAAGGCAAGCTATTTTACAACAGTATTATTGGATTCTGTTTCCTTCCCGATGGCTACCGCCAATGATTCCAATCACGATGCATTGGCCGCCCCACTCCTCCGTCCCCGCCAACCCGAAACCAACCAGACTCGACCCGGAACGGCTCCTCTGGCCGTCCTATTGGGAAGGGTAACCGGTCGACGCGGGGCGTCTATGCTCGTCCGGGAGACCGCAGCTCGGGAGCTGGAAGAGCGACGGGCTGATTGGGGATACTCGAAGCCTGTGGTGGCGCTTGATATTATGTGGAATTTGGCGTTTGTGATTGTTTCTTTAGTGATGGTGAGTGTTACGATGGATGAGAACCCTACTGTGCCGATTAGGGTGTGGGTTTGTGGGTATGGGTTGCAGTGTTTGGTACATGTGGTGTTGGTTTGGGTGGAGTATAGAAGGAGGAATAGGAGGGTTGGCGGGAATGGTAATACTGGATGGAGGAGTAGTAGTGGTGGTATAGGTGGGTGGGATGTGGAGGGCGGTGCAGGGGTTGAGGGAAATGTCGGGATTGAGGACGAAGATGAGGAGGCGGGAAGCCTTGGGATGTTGGGAGTTTCGGGTCGGACCAGGTTGATTTCTTACTGCAATCTTTTTGTATCTTCAATTTAATATATGCATATATGTTTTAATTCTAATCTGTTTGATGATGGCTTTTCCATAATGTTGGGTATCAAGAATCTGGAACTTTTTTTTGGGGGTCCCTGTGGGTGATTGTTTGTGCTGATGATGTTATGCTAGTGCTATACTATGTATGTAATTGACTTTGATTTAGCTGCACTCCAAAGTTTCAACCTATATTGTTTGTGGTTCTTATGTTCTGTTTACTTGTGCTGCTCTCTTCGTTAATGGGTCTTGTTGTATGCTTTGATTATTCAGAGTTCGAGTGTTATCAGTTTTTGCGCATGCATGGTCATACTATTTTTTACAGTTACTTTAAGGTTGTACACTGGGAATCTACCATTTCATTTGGCTACTTTTTGTAGTTCTCAGAAATATCAGTTCCGAACGGTACTTAACTGAAAATACTACTTGATTAATCATAATAGAGGAAAAAAATTGGTGAGATTTCAATGAAACATTTGATTGGAAATCGTTACTTAGGTTAGTGTGCGCAAGAAACAACCGACAGAAGTAACATAGTTGTAGCAAAATTGTTTAAGAGCTCGGTGCTCTGTCCAATGAATGAAGAATCCGTACCGCTTAGAATTACAGAATTGGGAGATAGTCACTAGAGGGACAAAGTGCAGAAGCTTAGAAGTATGACAGTTGGCCCGTGCGCTATGGATAGCTTCTGATTGCAAATACTTCCTCACCAGCCTAACTATGCCCTGATTTATATTTAGACGCTTTAGTGCAATCAGATTTTAGGCTTTGGGAAAGCATATCTTCCCTGGTAAGTTACTTGTGTTATCTGCTTTTAGGTAATATTATCATTGATTACACTTTCCAATTGAAAAATTCCAAATTAGGGATCCTTGAAATGCTGTCATAGTAGGATAGGTATTCGTGGATATATTTAGAGGGTCTGGAAAAGTTGGAGTTTTGCAGCTGTTTATTGCGTTCTTTGCTTGTCTGGAGTAATAAGTGCATAGTTTGTTTAATGCTTGGCTGTACGAGCTGATGATTCTAAATAATAGTATTTTGACTATTTTCACTTTCCCGAAGGTATAATATTCAGGCCTTGAGGAAATATGATGTTTGATTATTTGTCAATAAGTCCAAAATTAGACTATAACAAACTTTCAGGTCTTCTAAATTTTTCTTAATTAGATGTCCTGTCAAGTCTCGGTATAATTTCCCATCCTATACTGTCGATTTTTTCCGCTAATTGTTAATTCCTTTCAAATACCTTATCCTACCATTTGTTGACCAGCTTGTGTTGTCATGCATATTCCAGCTTTATCAAACGATGTGAATCTGTTAATACAATGGCATCGTTTGTCTGGTGGATAGTTGGTTTTTATTGGGTTGTCTCTGGAGGTGAAGCTCTTCTGCAGGGTGCCCCACGCCTTTACTGGTATGTTCTCCCTATAGCTTATTGATAGTTTTTTTCATCAAGTCGATTGCAGAAGTTTGTTGATAATCACTTTTGTTGCTTCATCCTATAGTCGATGGAAATGAAATTTTCAAGCTGGCTTGAAATTTCACTGAGTGTAATTCGTGATTATTCATTTCTTAGAACCAATTTCATCATGGTGGTTCATGAAAAGTGCCTCAAGTATTCCTCTTCATCGTAATGCTGTCCTGTATAATTGGCAAACTGCCTCTATGCATAACTGATATTAGCTTTCCTTTTCCCATTGTGTTTTCCTAAAATAGTGTTCTTTCTCTGGATGTTTTCATGGATTGCATGAGCCTTTTGTTTTAGTTATCTTGGACAGGAAAGGTTGGGAAGGGGTTGGGGGGGGGGTGTGGAGCAAGAATTGGCCGTATCTGTTCAAAGGATTGAAGCTTTGATAATCGGGATTAAGTTATCAGCTGGATTGGCTTTGATGCTTGGAGTAATTGGCCCTCTATTTTACTTTTTAAAACTCCTTGTTGGCAAAGCATGTTGATGCGTTGAACAATTTTTTAAAGGAAAAATCATTTTCTGGTACTTTACTTTCCTCCACTGGAGGCTGAAGATCCTTCTGATACCTATCTTGGGAATTGCAGGTTGGCGGTCGTGTTTCTTGCATTTGATGTGTTCTTTGCAATCTTTTGTGTTGTTTTGGCTTGTCTGATAGGAATTGCCCTGTGTTGCTGCTTGCCTTGCATCATAGCGATTCTTTATGCTGTTGCAGGCCAGGTAAGTCTGAAACGATTTTTGGGCCACTCATTATACATGATACAAATACGACCTCCATGCATACGGGCTTCCGTGTGCTGCGGATGCATGCATTCCTGCTATTTCTCGAGCACATATCAAATGTGAGTATGACAAGACTTGTTTAACTTTGTAACAGGAAGGCGCATCAGAGGCAGATCTGAGCGCCCTTCCAAGGTACAGGTTCGAAATATCTCAGGTTGAGGAGAAGCCTAGTGATGGATTTGGTAAAATGGTCCCTCTTGAAACCAGTGGTGGATACTTGGCACTCGAACGTGTTCTTTTACCCGAGGATGCAGTAAGTTATCAATCTTTTTCAAATATTTAGGTCTAGTTCTAAAACTGTCAGGATTCTGTAAGTATTCCTTTACTCTGCCTTCAATGCCGCCTAATTAACAGGTGAAGCTATACAATATTTATTTTTATTCTGCACTGTGACACAAAAAGGATGTCCTTATTTATTTGATTTGGCTTACCATTACAAATGAAATTGGAATTTTGCTTGGTAAGCCTCTGTTCCACTCCATAAAGATCAATGTTGACTTCGATGTTCTTGTTCCCTTGTTTTGTATCTTCTGCTTTTATTAAGGAATCTAAGATATGTTTTGCCTCGCTTTTCTTACAGGAATGTTGTATTTGTCTTACCTCTTATGAAGACGGGGCAGAGCTTCATGCGCTGCCCTGTAACCATCATTTTCATGCTCCTTGTATTGTGAAATGGCTCAAAATGAATGCTACTTGTCCCCTGTGCAAGTACAATATTCTGAAGGGCAGTGAACAAGTGTAGAGGAAGACAACAAGATTAGAGAAAATAGACTGAAGTTGATATGAGTGGTTGTTTGTTTTTTGTATTTATATGTACAGGGAAACCTAGATTGGAAGAAACATCTTGCCAATACATTTAGTAGAATAAGATGAAATATTGGTTGGTTGAGTTTCCTTGTCTGTTTGGTGCGGCTTCTAAGAAAATCTATAGATTATATGTTTAGCTTTTGTACCGAGTTCATTCAAGTTTTATCAGATGTAAGAATGAATTTAGAATGTATTCAATCTCTGTATATATACACAGTCAAGTTGACTTCAGAATTTGCATGTCTTTTTCATTGACTATGTCCATTTCTTCTTTGTTGACAAATGTAAATGCACAAGTATTGTGAGACTGAAAACTCAAACAGAGCAGTGTGTATAAATCAAAGTTAGAAAGATTCACTTCTCCGCTAACGCGTAGCAACTACTGAACAATTCCAGCACAAAAGGACATTGTAATACTGTATTGTTTAACTTTCGCTATTCTGAAAACAGTATCTGCCAATTGTACTTCCCAAAAGCTTGCCTGCTTGCCAAAAGCTCGCCTTCGGCTGTTGCCTCTTTGGTGGAAGCACAAGGCTGAACTTGTGTTGCTACTCACAATCATAGTTGCCAGATCATAACATTATTTCCCGCCAAAATTATGCAGAGGGCATGCTGGCCTTAATTTGATTTTGGCCAGGTTCAAATGCATCAACTCCTGCTAGAACTAGATGCTTACAAACTGTTATTTCCATTCTTCCAATACTCCTACGAATTCAGCATGGAGTGAATGTCCACCCTGTGTAACAGAAAAGGTCAATAAGAATCTGGTTCAACTGTGTTTGGTCTAACAAAAAAAATTAACCAATACTGATGGCAAGAAAATGAAGCGAAGAATGGATTCAAGACTGACGTAATGTACATCACAAGAATTGAATGCAGAAACGCTAGGTACCAATGAAATGTCATCCCCATAACTGAAAACAACTCCAATAACACATTTCTAATGAATCTCAATGACATGATGCCACCAACCAAGAAGAATAACCAGACAACCTAAACGTAGAAAGACCAGCAAGAAACCACATTGGAAGATACGGCCAACTCTAACCATAGAGAACTGTGGTGATGCCTAAAACAGCAATTTACTAACTAGAATGAGCATGGCTGATCTCAACCTCATTTCGCTCAAGCAAACAGATTAAACAAATTAACTTGAATTACAATGCTGAATTATTACAGTTACAGCATAAAAGTACACAAAAGCACCAAAAAGCTGCTTTAGAAGGCACATGCATGTCCAAAGCCTTTCTTCTCTAGAAGTTAATGCATATAAATTTGATACTTACATTTTACAATCTACCAAATCTCAGAAGCAATAATTCATGGCCACATTTTTGAAAGGCAGGTTCGAAAATTTAAGAAAGACAGGGATAGCTGAAGATGAAGGCGAAGATGAATAATAAGAACCCGTTCAAAGGGAAACGAGAGACCTTATATGCAATTATATCAGCCACGGGTATCCCTTGACTACCAGCCCGAGCAAGAAGAGAGACATCACCAATAAAATCTAACACCTTGTGTCTGCATGGTTCATTATCGAAGCGTAAAGGCGGGTTCAGCCATCCTCTAGTTTCACTGAGAGAAAGGAGCTAATCAGCATCAAAGACTAAAATTAACCACCCCTGTCAGCATGTTGTCAAAATGAATTCACTCACCTACAAACAATTGCATTTTCTGCAGACCCTCCCCCAATAAGCCCTGCATCACGCAATTTTTCAACCTGAAGATAGTTTTGATGTGGATAAGCACTGTTATCTATTCAAAGATTGCAAAAATGGCTACACTAAAACATTCATCAAGAGTTCTACAAGTGAATTAGTAAAAGTGACTTTAAAGTAGCCTGAACAGCTTGTGATCCAAGAACAACTACTAACTATCTGATGATAATAATTGCTTCTGCATTAACAGTAATGCCACAATGCCCCTACATGATTAACATCAAAACTATCTTCAGGTTATGGCCATTATATAAATAACAGATTAACATCCAATTTCCCATCTGGATTATAGTCAAGGACCAAGGCATTTTAAGTTGTAAAAGGAGCTAACACTTTGAAGAATTGCCCCTACATGATTATTCAGATTCACAATGCCATGAATAGCATGTATTGCTATTAAATACTAAGCACTTTCACATTCAGAAGGCCATACAGATGAAGCCCTGAATTGAAGCCCATAACATAAAGGTGCTTCATCATCACATTACCTACTATGATTCCAGTGACAGAATGTATCAGAGCCAAGAATTCTAAGGGTTAACAGGGTATACAACAGGGAAACGAACCTGTTCATAGATGCAAAAAGTTCTGGAAGGTGCAATCTCCTTGGCATAGCCGTTTTCATTTCCAAACCCAGAATAAAACCATTGATGACCAATAGCAGGTACCTGCAACAGTGAAGCACACAGTCACCTTCTTCGTCCTCTTCTTTTTCTATTCAGATACCTGCAACAAGAAGTTAATATTGAGAAAATGAAACTTGCCTTCGGAAAGTGAATTCCGTATCGAATCTTAGTCTTCGGGTAAGGAAAGGCGATTATATGAGAATCATTCTTCGACACACAAACAGGTTCATTAAGGAAAGGAGCCAACTTTTCGAGGCTTTTACCATCATGATCTACAGCTGCCTTCAGCCCTACTTCCTGAATTCCATCAACCCATTCTTTTGCAGAACCATCAAAAAGAGGAACCTGCATAAGCTTTTCCATTTAATACCGACTAATTTAATGGTTCATATAGAAACCTAGCACTCCTTATAGATTCAACCATCAAGAATAGGAACAATGCATTCATCTGCAAATGAAACTTTATCAGCAAGAGGCAATCATTTTGCATCAACCCACTAATATCTCATTCATAATAAAATCTCTTTGCTTAATCCAGCATTTCTCCGGAGAGCACTATAATTATACAAACGGTAAACAGTACCCAACTAAATTTAAAGTCAACCATAATTTGCCAATAACAACCAATTATTTCGAATCAAACCCATTTAAACCGTAACCCCTCATCAACTGAAGTATACAATTCAACATCACATAACGTATGACATGTAAACAGAAATCTACATGAAAAGTAAATTACAATGTTGTAGTAATTGAATATTAACCTCAACAGATGCATCATCAGGATCACAGCTCTGAATTTCAATGCGGCAGTTGTCAACACCAATACCCTCCAAAGCAGAGAGCAAATGCTCAACAGTCCTCACGCTATACCCCTCCTTACAAAGAGTAGTGCACAGAGGCGTCTCTTTTACATTATCTATCGTGGCGCAGATGATTTTCGAGTTAAAATCAAAGTATCTTCCTTCTCCGGCGAGTTCCGGCCATATCCTTACTGTCGAAAGCTTGCCGGAATGTAGTCCTACCCCAGTTCTCTCAATACAGTTCGCTACTGTTTGCTGCAACTTTCCGGTCTGCAGTATTACAAACGCGATTTCTTCATTAGTGCACAATAACAAAACCGGCAAAATGGGATTTTAATAATGTGGAGGATTAAGTGACAGAATTTACGGGCTTCCAAGAGATCACCGCAGAGGATTTGACGGCGGTTTTGCAGAATCCGGCGAGCGTCATGAGTGACGGGTCACTTCTTTGACTTCTATATTGGGTGTTGGACTATTTGACTTCTTTGACTTTTAAAAGATTTTTTTTTCTTTTTCTTTTCCTGGTAAAATTCCATATAACTGATTTCATGAATTCTTTGAACCGTTCATGTTTATTGTTTAGACTTCAGATCTTGGATTTTGCAGTGAAAATTGACTTGATGTTTACAGTAAGGACATAGCAAATCAAGTGTTTTTGCATGAAGCTCTCATATTTCCCACAAAAATTACTAATGCAAATCTTGGGTTCATTCACCATTAATTTGTGTTATTATGGAATATTTATTTGTATGTATATATCACAATTGATATCTTCTCGTATCCTTCAATGTACAGGAGGATGTAGATGTTACTCAAATTCCTATCCAAAATATAAAAAAGATTTAATTAAAGTTTCGAGATTAAACCTATTGAGTTAAAGACATTAGGATCTGATATCCAAAAATAAAAATATATTATTAAGATTCAATTGATTACTAAAGATAAAATCGGATTTCAAATGTGAGAACAAAATCAAAATATGATTTTTTGATAGTAAATCTCTTACTGGAAAGAAGTCCGGATTCGATTTTCACCGGGCGCGAGGTAGGAGAATAGGGAGCCAAGAGAGAAGAGCGATCCTATTCGCCTAGTATAAGTTAATTTAGATTGGACGGTAGAAGAGTGACTTTTTTTTTTAAAAAAAAAAAATGGAGATAAAATAATACTAGTAGTAAAACTTGGATTATTCATTTTTTCTGCTTTTTCCTTAATTCCGGGTCAAATTTCTCAATCAAATATAACTACAAACTACCCCTCGCTTTTTCCATTTTTCCGCTTCCAATTTTTCGATCCGAAGTCCTTTTATCACTGCTACTTCCCCCAAGTCATACCCACACGCGCCCAGACACACACAGCTGTATCTTTCTACGAGTTAATAATTTAATATTCACAATTAATTAAATTCATATAATTCCGCCCATTTGTTTCTTCGAGTTTTGTTGAAAATGTTCCGATTACAGCCGGAGAAGATCAGAAAAAGAATTTCATAGTTTGATTTCTGTTTTCGTTTTTTTTTCACCTTTTTATTGTTCAATTCCTTTTCGAAATTTTCGCCTTTGGGCAGCCATTTAATAGTGGAGCCTAGAGGGAGGGAATCCTGTTTGATTTCTGTTTTTAGGGTTTTGAGATTTTGGATTTCTGTCAACTTTTGTTTACCTATGACGGACGTGTTTTCTTATGTTCCGGCGTCGGTTTTGCGGAATTTGTCCGACAAGCTCTACGAAAAGCGAAAAAATGCGGCTCTGGAGGTCTTTTTGCATTTCTTTTATTATTTGTTGGGAATTTTGTTAATTTTGTTTGTTTAATTCTGGATGGGGGTTGGGGGATTTAGCGTTTAGGGTTTAATGAGGGGATCTGTGGGTGATGAATGTTGTAGGTGGAAGGGATAGTGAAGCAATTGGCACAGGCTGGAGATCATGAAAAGATTACCGCCGTGATTAATCTGTTGGTGCATGAGTTCACGTACTCCCCGCAGGCAAATCATCGGAAAGTGAGTTCCGCAGGTTTCACTACTTTTTGTAAATGAGATGGAATTGGGAAGGGAGAATTAAGAATGTAGCTTATCTATGAATGTGTAAATATTTTCTCAATTTTGTGGTGGAATGGCAGGGAGGTTTGATAGGATTGGCTGCCGCCACTGTGGGTTTGACTTCTGAAGCTGCTCAGCACCTTGAGGTGAGTGTTATGTGAAGTTGACTGGTTCAATATATAATCTCATTGTTTTTGAAGCATTTTTTTTGCTTGGAGAAGTGGTTTAACTTGTAATGAACTTGCCTTTAATAAAGTCGGGAAGTTTCTAAGGGGGTTTTGTGGTAGCTAATTCTAGATAGAAGATGTTTGGTTTCTCATATTAACTCAGTAGTCATGATATTTCGAAAGAGGATGGTGTGTTTAATTTAATGATTTTAAGTATTTTCGACGTGGAAGTTAATGTAATCTACAGGCTCATTGAGAATCTGTAGATCTTAAACAATGTCAAAGGTGTGGTGAGGGAACTTTCTGTCTTTGCTGTTTGGAATCTCTTAATAAACCGCTTAAGCGTGTTCTCTCTTTTAACAGAGCTGTCAACCTAGCTATTTGACTAATTGAAAGTGATGGGGTTGGGAAATTATATAGTCTAGATGATAAATGCTATTCTCATGCTGGTAGACAAAAGGAAGAGGATGATTGTACTTAGCCTGTAATTCTTCAGTTAGAAATCGTTTTCTTGTGTCAAATATGTGATCTCTTTAACGGATTGGACCTTTGTTTTATCCTTTGAAAAATTATGCTGTATAGGATAAACTTTCTTTTCCTTATGTATTGCTTGATGATTATGTTCTTGTTGGGTTTCGGTTTATTACCTTGTTTCCAGTATCTCGTGGTAGTCTCTTTTGGGTTTCGGTTCATTGTTGTCTTTGAAAGTTTATGACTTAATCGTAGAAGTTTACATGTATGCTGATTTCGATATTTTCTTGCTGTGACCATTTGGTGGAGTCTTTCGTTGCTGTATTTATGCCCTTTCATTGATGAGGTCATAAATTCATAGTCATTCAGATGGCCTCTGAGATGTTCTTCTAAAATTTTCTATTTACCATATTCCAAGGAGAAGCATGTTGTCGCATGTTGTTATGTGGTTGTTCTCATGCAGGTTCTTGTATTTGTGTTCTGCACTGGTCTTCTAGATTGATAATGTATTCTGAAATGTTTCACTTTGTCTCATCTAATTTCATAATGAAACGATGCATGTGTATGTAAGCTATTTTTTTGTTCTTTTAGTGTTGAGCCGATCATTCATGTCAGATTGAGAACTATTAGTTTCTTTATCTATATTACTAAATCCTCTTTCTGATCTGGCAGCAAATCGTACCTCCTGTTCTGAATTCGTTTTCAGATCAAGATAGTAGAGTCCGATATTATGCATGTGAAGCTCTATATAACATAGCAAAGGTGGGTATAGAATCGTGCATCTTCTCACTAGATGATTGTTTTTTGTTGTATAGTCTTCATTTATGCTTTTCTTCCTCTCTTTCTTTTGGCAGGTCGTAAGAGGAGATTTTATTGTGTTTTTCAATCAAATTTTTGATGCGTTGTGTAAGCTTTCCGCAGATTCAGATGCCAATGTACAGAGTGCTGCTCATCTTTTAGACAGACTGGTGAAGGTAGTTATGAAGCATTTAAAGTGCCCTCTAATAATATGTGGGCCTCATTATGTTTTATTATTTAATATTTTGAATTGTTGATACAATGGAGTTATTCGATTTGTATGGTTTGTGCAGGACATAGTTACAGAGAGTGATCAGTTCAGGTTTGTATATTTGTATATTCCTTGCGTGAGCATTGCAGCCAGAGTTGAACAAATTGATCCTTGACAGATTAACTCTCGGTATCTGTTGACTTTCTCAGTATTGAAGAATTTATCCCATTGCTGAGAGAACGTATGAATGTCCTCAATCCCTATGTCCGGCAATTCTTGGTTGGATGGATTACTGTTTTGGACAGCGTTCCAGATATAGACATGCTGGGTTTCCTCCCTGATTTTCTTGATGGTAAGCTTTTGAATTTCTACTTGGTTTTATTTATTTGTTTTTCTTTGAGTTAGAGGTAATGATGTAGCACAAGTCTGGTGATTATGAAAACTAGGTTCTTTTTATAGGTTGAAATGCTGCGAAAATTAAGTGAAAAACTGTGAGGAAAAGATAGAAAACCATTGGGAAACAACAACAAAAGTAAGAATCACACTTAGCAAAGCCTTCGGCTCGGACCTAGGTACCTTCAAGGCATTACAGCCGAGGATTGATTTGTATTGCACAAAGTTTGCTTTCTACTAAGAGACATATTGATAGACCAAAAAAAGAAATTAAATCCTAATTTCTTTACTTTCCTTAAAAAATTGCTTTTCTTCTGACTACTGACTTGACACATTTAAATCAAAGATACAAAAAAGGAGACTGCCCTTATTATTAATACCTAGAAATTACTATTAAAAAATAATAAACTGAACAAACTGAAATCCTGCTCTTGAAATACAACTTTGATTAACTTATTTGAAGTTATTCCAACATTTGTTTTCTTTTATCCTGGGCATAGTAAAGGAAAACTTTGTAATGAAGTTCGTCTACCCTATCTTCTCCGCATCAGGTAAAGATGAGGGTTTACAGGCTGATTGTTTAAACCATGGACACATTATTTCCCTTAAGTGAGTTTTAAGTGGTTTTTAACCGATTCTATTAAATCTCATTGCAGGTCTGTTCAATATGCTTAGCGATTCTAGTCATGAGATACGTCAGCAAGCTGATTCAGCTCTTTCTGAATTTCTGCAAGAAATTAAAAATTCTCCAGTAAGGCCTCCTTTATTAGTCAGCTTTTGACATTTTTTAATCTTATTATCATTATTGTGTTTGGTAAATCATTGTTTTGTGGATTGTACCAAATATATCATGGGTATTTTATTTTCAAAAAAGAAATATTATGGGTATTGGCCATATTGTGGCTTTTAGGGTTGTAATTAATTACATTCCAGATAGCTGTTTTTTCCTTTGTGCTTTATCCGCTTCAATTGTTTGAGTTTTGGATACTATCTAAAGTTCTTTTTCTTCACATAGTTCTCTAAGTAGCTCAATTGACTATGGAAGTAGTAATATTTGGAACACACATTGGTAGTATATGAATATTGAAGTATTTTGGTGGGTTTTACTACTTACTGGAGTATTATTCTGACTTAGTGAGTTTTGTTTGAAGTCGGTAGATTATGGTCGCATGGCTGAAATACTGGTGCAGAGAGCAGCTTCCCAGGATGAGTTCACCAGGTTGACTGCTATAACTTGGGTATGACTTTACATCATTCCTTCACCCCTCATTCCAATAGTGCTGTCTTAGCACTTGTACAAGTGCAATGGTGGCAAAAATGATACTGTTATAATCTCCCTTTTTTTTTTGTTGAAAGAAGTATTAATATCTTCTTTTTGCAGATAAATGAGTTTGTGAAGCTTGGTGGGGATCAGCTTGTACCTTACTATGCTGATATCCTGGGAGCTATCTTGCCTTGTATCTCAGATAAGGAAGAGAAAATAAGAGTGGTGAGTTCTCTCTTTTTTTTTTTTGGATAATGAGAGTGGTGGGTTAAATGTGTTCTTTTGATTGTTAGTTGTGCATTATTTTTTACTTTTCATCTTATTCTCCTTCCACTATACCTTAGATTAATGTTCCATTTTTATGAATTTTGTTGAAGGTTGCTCGTGAGACAAATGAAGAGCTTCGTGCAATTAAGGCTGATCCTGCAGAAGGGTTCGATGTTGGATCAATCCTCTCTGTTGCGAGAAGGTATTCTATTATTGCCTTTGGACCGTAGGTTCTTAGAGAAGCTTGCAGTTTGCTGCTAGGGGTTTCACTTGATGCTTTAGATGAATTTTAATAGCCGAACTATTGATTTGAATTTTCTTGGTTATCTTTTTCGGCATTCCTTTGAGGTTGGGTTGTTGAGCGATACCTTTTGTTCTTCATGTCAGGCACTTATCTAGTGAATGGGAGGCAACACGTATTGAAGCACTGCATTGGATCTCAACACTTTTAAATAGACACCGAACAGAGGTGATTAGCATTGCGGCTAATGTCCACACACATCCCCCCCACCCCACCCCACCCCACCCCACATACGCACACAACTTTTGGTCCATTGTTTCTTCTCTTGTTTGGCTAACTTTACCTAGTATTTTTGCTTTTTCAAATCTGTTATCATCCATTTCAGTTCTTACTTTATGTATGTGGTGGCTGTTAAACTGGTTGTTTGAGAACTCAAAGAATTAAGACTTCTTTGCATCGAATGCCCGCTGAGTAAAATACTTCCAACTGCTATTTATCTTTAATTTTCATCCACTTTCATCGTTCACAGTTGGCAAGGTTATCTTATTCCTGACATGATTTATTGGATTTGTGCTGTTTTCCTTATCATTGCAGAATTTCTCCATATTAACTTTGATAGATTGAGACCATAAAGTGCATGTTAGGTTATTCTGGAACAGGATATTCATATCTTTATTTGTTACTGTAGTGTTATGAAAGACGTGCATGGCTTAGATTTCCTCTTGCCTTACACTGATAATAATATGTATAATTTTTTTTTGCTATACGATGATATACTACTTTGAATGCATGAAACAGGTTTTGTCTTTTCTAAATGACATTTTCGAGACACTTTTGAAGGGGTTATCAGATCCGTCAGATGAGGTATTAATTCTCTTCTATGTCTTTCTTAAATACTACTTCGTTATATATCTAATTTATATTGGTTGGAAATAGACATTTTGCTGATGTTGAGGGTTTTTGATGTGCGGTGTTGTGTGTGGAAGTAACTTTATCTGCAGTCTTATGTTTGAGCACCTTTTTTTTTTTTGAGGAATATGTTTTAGCACTTGCTTTCACTTAAACACTGTTGGAAAAACTGAATACTATGAAAGTAGGGTAGTGGCTTGTTAGTGATAACTTATGGAAGGATGTGTAGTTTAGTTTGTACTTTGTAATATCTTTGGATGGTGTAGGAATCAAAAGTCGCATGTTTCATAGATGGGCATATTATTATGGATTTGCTGACGTCAGTGATGTCTTGGAAAGTGAAAAGAGAAACAAATGGAAGGTTACAATTGTTAAAATTTGGTACATCATCTTTAAAATTGCAGATGTTCCCTGTGGTTTGTTTAACCTCATTTTCTGCTCGAGGTTTTTTTTTTTTGGGGGGTTTAGAAGTTTTGATTCCTTGTCTGCCTCGGCTGTATGTTTTAGCTTACCCAGCTGCCTCGGCTGCATGTTATCTTCTTCTTTTCATACTGGAAAGTGCTTAATACTGAGAAGAATTTGGATGGAGGGAAACATAGTATGGACTTACCTAGAACAACTTAAATGATATGCATGCATATGCTTTCAAGAAAAATAGTGATGGTTTGTTGAGTAAATACGATGCCTTGGATGGTAATGCTATATGTCATACAAGTATCTGTTTCAATTTGATTAAGTTTAGGTGTTTCTGATGGTATGTGTTCATTCATGCAAATTTATGTTAAACAAGGTAGAGGTATCAGTTTTATTAGCATGAGTTTCCTCTTGTCACAGGTGGTCCTTCTCGTGCTTGAGGTGCATGCTTGCATAGCTAAAGATCCCGAACATTTTCACCAGCTTGTTGTGTTCCTAGTTCATAATTTCCAAGTTGATAATTCACTTCTTGAGAGGTGAGCCTTTGTACTTAAGTAACTCTGGTCTACGGTTAAAGTTTGATGTCTATTTTGGATTCAGTTACATGTCTATGCTTTGTTATTTAGGCGTGGAGCTTTGATAATCCGACGGCTGTGTGTTCTTTTAGATGCTGAAAGAGTTTACCGGGAATTTTCTAGGATTCTTGAAGGAGAATCTGATCTGGATTTCGCATCTATCATGGTACAGGTGGGAAGAATAGCTCCAGATTACACTCAACTTGATTTCTTCTTTTGGCTGACTTTTTTGAATTTGATGTTGAACAGAGGATTATATAAAAACTCAGATATTTTGTGTTAGTTTTACTCTGATGATCTGTTTGATAATGCTTCCTTCCTTTGCAGGCCTTGAATTTGATTCTGCTTACATCCTCTGAGTTGTCTGATCTTAGAGATCTTTTGAAACAATCATTGGCAAATGCCGCTGGAAAAGATTTGTTTGTTTCTTTATATGCGTCATGGTGCCACTCGCCAATGGCAATTATAAGCCTTTGTTTATTAGCTCAGGTGAGCAATTTTCTGGGTTGCTTTTTAATGTTTATTGGCCTTTGCTTATTGGCCTCTTTACGCTAGGCAGTCGTTGGGTTGCTGATAGTTTGAGTTTATCTTCCTATAATATGCAGACTTACCAGCATGCTAGTTCTGTAATCCAGTCACTGGTCGAGGAAGACATTAATGTTAAATTCTTGGTCCAGTTGGATAAATTGATCCATCTACTGGAAACCCCAACATTTGCCTATCTCAGACTGCAGGTGATGTACTTTTTGTAATTTGTTTTCAGAATTATGGTTTTTGTTCGATGCTGATGTTTATATTATCTTTTTTTTCTTCTTGTAATTCAGTTGGTTTTCTGTTTGATCATATTTGAAATCAGATTGGCCGATTTTTTATAGATGTTTTGAAATTACAATGAAAAGAAATGGATTTGAACTTCCCTATAATAATTCAACTCCTAAATTTCGTTTCCATTCTGGGTCTTCAAATTAGATTTTGCAACCATTGATCTCTGTTACTACGAATGGTTGCTTGTAATTACGGGCTGTATCTCTTTTTGCTAGTTAGGATATGTTATAGACAGTAGCTTGTTCACTTGCTTGGAATTCATTCCTGCAGCTATTTTGGCGTCAGTCTATGTTGCAGCTTCTTGAACCTTTCTCTGTTACTACAAATGGTTGCTTGTAACTACGATCCGTATCTCTTTTTACTAGTTAGGATGTGTTATAGACGGTAGCTTGTTCACTTGCTTGGAATACATTCCTGCTGCTATTCTGACATCAGTCTATGTTGCAGCTTCTTGAACCTGGGAGGTATATTTGGCTTTTGAAAGCTCTTTATGGTCTTCTGATGCTGCTTCCCCAGGTTATTTTTCTTTGCCTGCTAGTAGAGCATGTTTGTTGCTTTCTATCAAGGAATGCTATGTTCTGCTTAAGTTCTTTACCTTTGTGGTTGTCGAGGAAGCTTCTTTTCACTTGTAAGACACTTGATGTCATTTGGTTTATGTGTTGGTGCAGCAAAGTGCTGCCTTCAAGATTCTCCGGACCCGATTGAAAACTGTACCTTCATACTCATTCAGTGGTGGACAACTGAGGACAACAGCATCCGATAGCCTGTACTCACAAATGAACTACGGGGGACTCGATTCTCAAATTTCTGAGGATGGCGAGATTAATGATGATTCGGAAATCGTGCATAATGGAATCAATTTTGCTTCCAAACTGCAGCAGTTTGATCAAATGCAGCAGCAGCATCGTAGGCATGTTAAGTCACAGGCTCAGTCACGCTACAATTCTACTTCTTCTTCAAAGGTTGGTATTCACAAGTTATTACTGATTTTTTTTGTGAGTTCTCTACAAATTTTGAGATTTCAAGAACTGAGTGGTCTTCCACTATCACTGTTTCCTTAACTTCTAAAGAAGAGCATGCATAGAGTCTGACTTATAGGCATTCTTCTGATCAGGATGTTCAAAGACCTGAAGAACCCAAGAGAACATCATCAGGAGTGGCAGATGTGAGCGGGCCTCCTTCTAGATCCTCGAGACGAGGTCCAGGACAGTTACAAGTTTAAGATTTTTTGTTTTTTTTTTTTAAACTTCTGTGCTTAGTCGAGGTTATTTATACAACAATCATGGTGGTTGTCAGAGTCAGTAGCGAAAAGTGTAAATTGTATATCTTAGTAGTCGTTTTGGCTAAAAACTTTGAAAGGCGGCGGTGGGTATTATGTTGGGTTCTGGATCAAAGCTTGCATATTCCCAAGCTCTATTCTTTTAGACACGCCCCCCATGTGGTTATGTTGTTTTTATTAAAACCACAGGGGAAAGTGAGGTAGATTATATTTATTGACAGTGTAGGGGATAAATTTTACGTTTGCTTTTGGGTAATGCCGTAAAGTCCATCCCTCCTTTTATAACAAACGAGTACCTAATTTTTGGACACATGTTGATTCTCCAATTTCTTTTGCTATTTTGAACTTTGAAGCCCTGTACTGGTCACGGAAAATAGCTCGAGATGAAAATATTAATTATAATAAAGTGAGCAAATTGTTAATAATAAGAAATGAAACAATACAAAGCTCAACAAGGCCCATTTAGTTGGAGGCAATGTTTTCAAAATCAAGATTTCACACCGGTTTTGTTGTCTCAGGATCAGATCGGATTTTGAATTGATAGGATCGGATCGCAAGGATCGTAACTATTTAAAATATTACAATAATTTTGAAATTGTGAGTTTTAATTTGTTAGTTCAATTCTTGTTTAATTTTGTGGAGGAAAAGTATACTAGTGTCAATGGGATCGCTGAAACGTAAGAGATTGGGATTTTGAAGGATTTCATAAGATCCCACTACAAAAAAAAATTTTATAAGATCCAGGATCGATTTTCGGATCCTAAATCCTAAGATCTTAAGATCCGGATCGGGATTTTGAAAACTATGGTTGGAAGAACTGGTAACTAGACTATGCGTTTAGGGCAGTAAAGCACGTAAGTCGGTTAAATTTTCAAAACAAGGGTGTAGTATAGACTTCTTTTTTTTTGGCAAGTATGTACGAGTTTGCCTTTCTACGTCAAACAATTCCTGCATTGACAACCTGAAATTTGGCCTTCAACCATGGTGATCATCCAGGCTTAAATGTAAGCCCTTCAAGTCGCAAATGATTACATATGTTGAACTTGAGAGTAGGGTTCAATTGAAGATCATCTAGGCGCACCTCCGTAATTGTATCCAAAGTTAGAAATAATGCCCAAGGATCTACTTAAATCCAGGAAAGCACGAAAAGAAAGAGAGAGAGCGAATATATATAACGCGGGACATCCTTTCTCGCAATAAATTGCTCATCACAACGAACCATAACTTCCCCTACTAGAGACCATAAGAGTAACAGGTCAGAGCTTTCTTTCTTTGTATACATATTTTCACTCTGCTTCTCGATCATAATTCTCCTCTAACTGCCTCTACAGGAATCAATCGGCAATTGAACCTCGGATGAGGTAGAGATGACTTACCCTTCAAAATTTACCTGCATCCACTGCCGGTTGCAGTATAGCCACTGGTGCACTCAAAGCACTTACCGTCAGTTAATTTTCCACCATCAAGGGGAAAGTGGTGATCAGTAGGGTGAAACCACCACCAGGCATCAGATCTCTGAGAAGATTTTAATTATGGTTTTTGTCCAAACCACTCGGCCATCTCTTCATCATGTTGAAAAAGATCACAGCTGGCCTCGGTAAAGGAAGATTTAAATATATCAGCATTCCTCTTGGCTTTTGCATCCCCTTTGTTCTGCTCAGTCATTTCCATTCTCCATCTCTCAGCATTCTGTGATAACTCACTCTTACCACCTAGAACTGGAAAGTCTATGAATCCAGCTGCACCATCCAATGAACTTGAGCTGTCCTGGCCCTTGGTTTCAACAAATTTAAATTCATCCAATCCTTCATCTCTACCCCGCTTCTCCTCACCAAAAAAAGGGCGTGTACGGCGATACGGAATGTTGCCACTGACAGATTGCATTTGTAATGGAGAAGAATTGAAGGCCTTCGGCCTTTTATGATCACACTTCAAGCATACCATATTTCTTTTGAAATTTAGGTAGTTACACCTGGAAAATAGCAAAGTAAAAGAAAGCACTAAGGTCACTGCCTCGAAGAAAATTCATTCCATTCATGATTTATCTTGGAGTTCAAACTTACGATTCACATTCCCACTCTCCGGGATTGAGTTGTCGCTTTGGTGGCTTCTCTTTACATTGCAAACACCACGTATTTTTTGCAAAGTTCAAAAAGTTGCATCTGTAAATGCCAAGAGCCTCAGTAGTAGAACATAAAAATAACAAGAAGAAAATAGTACCCTACAATGGTTATGAACCGCAAAGAACCTAGACGAGATAACTCACTTATCACATATCCAGTCTCCCTTCTTCTGTGGCATCTGTTCATAATCCTGCCCAAGATTTTGCAGCCTTTCTTGGAAAAAACTGTTGCATCGTAAGCACTTGATATTTCTTGCAAAGTTCAGGAAATGACATCTATAAGGAAAAAAAGAAATGTTATATAGAAAGTTCGGTAAATTTTCAAAAGGGAATGAAAAACTATATATTGAATATTCGATGGAGCCTAAATTTGACATAGGGATATCTGATATGGCTTGTGAATTTACTTGGGGCATCTCCAATCGCCTTGTTTCCCTGGAACATTAATTTGAGATTTTCCCTGGTGATCTGACATTTCTAGCTTTGCCATACTCCTTCCAGATGTTGAAGTTGTCAGATGTTTAGTACCAAGTTCCTCAGAAGAGCTTAATTCTACAATTTCTTTCAGCAAAATTCTAACTGATTCAGTAACCTTTCTGCTGAGACATGTTTTATTCTCCATAGAACCAGTTATAGCACCATGTCCAAAAGTCAGTATGAACCGCATGACATCCACTGTCCTGCCACCTTCATCTTCACGAGCCTTTACATAAGCCCTCTCACAATCTCCCCTCAAAATGCAGGTGCTACAAACCTACTAAAACTCTTGTTGTTAAATACATAAAGAAGTGACAACCATAATGCAAAAGACTGATATGATGGAAATACAAAAATAAAAGTGATCAAATTCTCAAAGCATACATTTCCTTCATCAGTGCACGCATGAGCCCTTAATCGCTTTCCTGAGTTGACTACTTTCCTGTCTAAGCTGGGGCAGCCAGATCCTGCAATGATTTGGATATCTTTCCGCGACAAGGATCTGGTAAACAACCAACAGCGATAAAACATTACACTACGATTTTGATTAGAAATAGTAAAAAACAGCATGTCCTTTCAACAGGAGGACCTTCAGTTTTATTTTGCATGTCCACTGGTCCTCCAAAAAGTGCCAATCTGACAACAGCCAGTCTAGATCCTCAAGTTTCATACTAATTTCAGTTAAGAATATGACGATATTTTCTAACAAACTTCCCAAACTTTCTAAAGGAATTATGTACTTGCAAACATAGCTCATATTTCGACCAAAACATATGGTCAGCAACTTAGATTATCTAGTTACTTAAACAAAATGAAGATTTTTTTTACCACGACATGAACCATATCTGTAGTTCAAACTTCAAACCACCAATTTCCCCACTGAGACAGATGACCTAATTCCTCTAGTAATGTTTCAAACAAGCAGCCAGAATGGCTAAACAACTAAATGGGTAACGGAACAATGCATTCTCTTTCTACCATTGCAAGACTTGAGCAGAAATGCACAGAGTGAATAGGCAAAAAACAGTGAAAATCAGTTCAACCAGTCAGAGGCTAAGCGATAACATATTGCAACATAATGAGGATCTAGCACACTTTTACCTAGGCATAACTCGGAAAAATGGCTCATACTTCAGAGTTTCCGTTTCCAAGTACATGTTTACTACGAGTTTTCATTGGTAAGGCATGTGGCTCCGTCACTGCTATGTTTACTCAAGTTATAATGTAGTACAGAATGAGCTTTGTTTTAATCAAGAATTCTAAAGTTGCATCAACGGTTGATATCAAAGGTTAACGCCACATTACATTAGAATTACAATCCAACAGCAAAATTATGTGCAAGGAACATAATCCTTGAACAGATGATCCACATTACAATCACAGAAAATAGCAGGCAGACCATGACAGGATCATACAGACAACACTGAAGAAACAAATTATGTCAAAATAGGCACTTTATAGATACCAATCAATACAAACAATAATTGGAAGGAGAGGGGGGACAATTCCATACAGCTTGCTTACCTTATGAGATCAAAACGGTCACGAGCAAAATTCAAACAAGCCGTCCTAATCTCATTGAACTCTTTGGATCCCATTTCATGACTCCCAAAAGGGTTACCAATTTGATCAAAATAACCCCTACTCAGCAACTTCTTCATGAGACCAACCCATTCAGGCCAAGGATGAGATATTTGAACCTCGTCACCAAAAGTGTCCTCTTTTACCTCATTTTGTACGGCAAATTGTTGACGTGTCGTGGGATTTGGACAGGAGTATTCACATGATGGTTTGACGTCTTGAGTTACTTCATTCAGGATGAAGTCAATCGCAGGATTAGAAATTGGGGAGTATCTTGAAGTGGGTTTTATGTGAAAACCAGAAATGGGCATGAAAAGGATGGCGTTCTGAGGACCAGTTTTGAGGACTCGGAATATTTTCAACATTTTGATTCCCGGTCACGGTTCGGAACAAGATGACTAGTGATGAATGAATGTGTGTAGAGAAACATTCCTAAAGCTTCTGAATGCGAAATTAATCGACTAAAGGTAGAGCTTGTTCCTTAAAAAATTTAAACATTGTTGAGCATAAGCTCAATCAATCTGCCATTAAAAAATAAAAACGAAAATGTTTAGCATCAACTTCAGCAACTTATACTTCAAAAGGAGGGGGAAAAGGCAAAATCGGAGCCTTCAAAGCTTAAACCATAGATATAAGAATTCCCGGAGATGAAGTGATTTTAACTAACCACCAGGATGTCTCCAGAAAGGAAAGAATGGAATAGATTTATTCAGACAGGAAACCCATGGTGACGAAGCCGTCGGACTGAAGAACAACAGTATGACAACTAGGAGACGACGGAGGGAGGGATCCGTTTGTTTCGTTATAACCCGAAACAAAGATTCTGTGTTTTTTGAAATTGGGCCGATCTTTCTACCTCGGAAGCCCAGTAAAAGATTTCTGTATGCTGCGCTTTTCCTACTTTCTCATTTTTGTCATTAGCAAAATGTTCAGAACGTTGGTCCCTTTTCTTTTTTTTTTTTCTGGCGAAGAAAAACCCCCATCATAAACTTAGCTTAGTTCGTACATCTTGCACTACCCCTAGAATCCTGATCTAGATACAAGGATATACAACCTGGGGGAACATCACAGTTTTTCATTACATTTGTTTACTCTGTTATGTACTTTGGGTTGGAATTTTTTGCTCTGTTCTGTTCTTTGGATTACAATTTCCACTGTAAGAGTTGTTACTTCAAAATGCTAAGTAATGTATTTTGTAGCAACTTTGGGGTATATTATATTATACTGGATCTTTGATAGAGGTTGATACATCAGCACAAAAGCCTGCTACTTTTTTTTTCACAACTGATCCCTGTCTTTCATATATTAACCAGATATCTACACTAACAAAACAGACTCATTGCTCAAACCTCCATATTCTAAAGAAATATCTACAGAGACTCATAGCTCATCCTCGGATTCTGTAGAGAGCAACCTTGACAGATACTCCCGTTCTGGGTTGTAAATTGGATCTGACTGCGATGGAGGAAGAACCCGTTTCCGCATCAATGCCTCTATAGCTGGGGACTTCCTTTTCCTGCCACCCCTAGCTCTTAATCTAAATTGTTCATCAGCCTCTTCAAAATCCCCCTGACAACAATGTCATGTTACAGAGATTATCAGTCAGATCCAGTAAGCTGCAGGATTGGTAGAAACCAAATGATGCTTCGTGATGTCAAAGGAAGTTTGCCCAAGAAACTTACCATAGTGAAAACATGCAAACCAGACTTCTCATGCTTATCTCGCACATGTTTGAAAGAAAATCTCATTCCACAGGATGGGAAACTACAGGCAAACGGCTTGATATCCAAGTGCGCTGCTTTGATGTGCTGATTTAGGTTAGACTTCTGCAAATTCATTAAAATTTAGCAGAAATCAGAATTTTATTAGCAGTCATAACACAACATAAAACAACATTACAGAGTACAACTCCACCTACGTTTGAAAACGAATGGAGGCAGCCATCGAAGGTGCATTTTATTCTATCATGAGATAATTCTGCTTCATGTGATCTAAGGTGCCGTTTAATGTTCTTTTTCAGCTGCCTAGTCCCACATGTCTCACAGGTAACATACTGGTGACACAAATGAATATGCTCCTTAAGACATTCATCATTCGTGAAGTACTTCATACAGCCCGGTTCAGAACAGAGAGTTTCCATCGCATTTGACTTGACTGCATTCGCAAAACTTTCAGTGAAAAAACGAAAAAACATGTATGCAAACAACCTCTCACAAAATGCAACTATATAGTCTATGCACAGCAAATTCACTGGATACCGGAATTATAAAGCTTACCATGGCAATTTTCATGCTTTCGTAACTTGGAGGCAAATCTAAACACTTTCCCGCACCCAATTTCCGGGCAGACATACTGCTTCGAGTTATCAGAATCACTTGAGGAAACATCTTCGTGAAATTCTTTGATGTGCCGCTTCATGTTATCTTCAAGGGTAAATTTTTTATTGCAACCATCAACAGGGCATTCATATAGGTTCCCTTCATGTTGGAGCAAGTGTCTAGTTAAGTGGTCCTTTCTTCGGTAGTTAGAGTGACAGCCATCAACTGGGCACTTAAAAGGCCTCTGCAACATCGTAACCAAAGTTAACTCACAGGAATGATTATTAAAGAAACCACAGGAAAAAAAAATGATCCAAATCAGGGCATACGAAATGATAAAATCCCAAACCTCAGCTGATGATAGCGTGAGAGAGGCATGCTGCTTGAAGGTCTTCTCAGGAGGTCCCCCTACCTGATACTAGTCCATTCAAGCCACCCTGGTGCCTCTAGCATTTCGGAGTTCTCAATGTGGGATCCAATGCCTCACGCCTAAACGAATAACCCAAAACCAAAAGATAACTTATTAGTACTCAAGTAGCTCTTAAACCACCAAGAACAAGTTGCAAAATCAGTTTAGTAGAAAATTTCAACATGTTGGAATAGTTGACAACCAAAATGGAAGAGAACCTTGTTATATATTAAAACTGGTTACAAGAACTCAGATTAAATCCTCTATCAGAATTGATATCTTTGAATGGTGAATTTCCCGGTAAAAAAAGCCTAATCGAAGCCAAAAAGGGAGTAATAACAAACCTCAAATGAGTGACCCTGCATATGCTGCCTCAAATAAGCAGGTTTCTTGAAACTAATTCCACACTCTTCACAAACATTCATCTTCGGACCCTTATTTTCTTGCTGCCCATTTTCAGCTTCTTTCTGAATCAACTCATCCTATCAAATAAACAACCCGAAAAACACATTAACCCTTTTATTCCTACGACCAAAAACGAAACCTAAACCGCATCAATACAGACGACCTTTCGCAATATAATTAAATCAGACATTAAGGGGAGAAAAAAATACCTTATGTCGAGATTGCACATGAGAGGTGATTAGGGATTTCTTGGAACGGCAAATCCCACAGAATTCACAATAATATCTTCTGATATCCCTAAAAATTACAGGCCTTTCTTTCCTATCGTCCATTTCCACCATCTCTTCGGCTCGATGCGAAACGAGTGTAGAGCGGCACGAGAAGAAGAATCTTGAAGGTCTGAGAGAGTGTAGGGTTTTCACTCCAGCTATTTATTCCTTAAGTTTGAGTCTGGGCTTTGTCGCAGTCCATCTTCGCAGTCTCGGTTATTATTATTGGGCCTTTTCATCATTTTTTATTGGGCCTCTTTATATTCTTCTCAGGGCTGAGTTCCTTCTTTGGGGGTGAAAAACCTATTTATTATTCACGAAATTATCTCCGCTATTATTTAAGTGTTTTTTTTTTTTTTTGGGGTTACGATAAACGCATAAATTCTCATATTTCTGGAATATTCAACCCCTATAACATTATGTTATAGTCATGGTCTTTGTAATCCTATAAGTCCATAGGTTGTCAACGATGTTAAAAAAAAAAAAAAACCCACATTATACATCAATTGCTTAGTATAGTCTCTACAAACAGATTAGAGAACCATAAAGTTTCTTTTAAGTTTTACCAAATTCTGCTTGTAGCGTATCTAAAAGTTTTTTTTCCCCCGCAAGTGTTTATAAGATTTATTATTATGTACTGCAATTTATTCGTTTTAAATTATATTTTCATATAAAAATGTAACACACGCTTGCAACCTTGTACTAACCCACAGCAACGCAAGCAACCTGTTACAACGGAAGCCATGATTTTTATAACCAAACGACGAACGCTAAAAAATGTTGAGAAAATATTTTTTTAAAAAAAAAATACAATTGTACACTTGGTATATGCAATAACACGCATTTAGAAAAAACATACACTACAACAAAAATAGGCTATTAATACCTTTATAGTGGGATATTTTTTCTAAAATGTGTCTCATTATATGTGTATTAGGACATTTGCTAAAAAGTGTCTTATTAAAAATAAAAAAAATGTATGCATATTATGAAACACTATCATAAGTATATTATGTGGGGTTGCTTGTGAACTATTGCCCTACTTAAGGGGTCACTTTAAAGTGTCTTATTAAGTGACAATTTAATAATACACTTTTAAATGTTTTATGACTTATTGTGACTCGATTATAGGAAACACTATTTAATAGTGTCCCACGCAATGTGAATCACATGTGTCTTATTACACCACTTATCGAGACACAAAAAAGTGTATAAACTACTCATTTTTGTTGTAGTGATATGACCATAATTTTAGAGCGCACTAAGTAATAATCTAAGAAAATACCAACGTTATATGGGAAGTGGGAACTAGCTATTACATAAATATTCAAAAGCATATTTTTTATTCATTATTTATTTTTTTTAAAAAAAAAAGAATAATTTTTGTTCTCAAAATAATTGAAGATTTCCTTTATTTATTTATTTGGTTACTTCCGATCGAACAGTCATTCTAATTTGTAGTGCTTTGCCGACAACAGAATAATAGTACGGTATGTATAATGCATTCAAAATTCACAGAGCTTCCATTTTCCCGTGAGTTTCCACTATCGTTTTGCTTTCAGAAAATTTTTGGATGTATACTAGCTCCCTCTATTAATTCAACCAACTTGTATTGTATGATTGTATCTACAACAACAATCTTGTTGGCTAAAATTGAGAAATTTGCAGAGTAGAGTCACATGGAGTTTCTGATACTCTCACGTCTTGATTTAGTACATCATATATTGTTTAAAAAAAAAAAAAAGAGTACTGGGAATTATATATAGTGAAAACTCTGAAAATTGAGTACATCATATATAGTGTAAGAATAAAGTTGTGAAGTCGTACGAAGATAGTGTGACTCCCTCCATCCCATAATTATTATCCAATTTAGGTTTTTATTTTTAGTTCAAATTATACTAAAAATAAAATCTTAAACTGGACAATAATTTTGGGACAGAGGGAATACTATTTTGGATATGTTGGAATGGATAAATAATGAGGTAATTTCAGATATTGATGGTTTTCACTTTTCTGATCAGTGCATGGCTTATTGTTCTTCATTTTGGCTCTTTTTAAGCTTCAAATTCCAAAGCCAAACGCAGCAACTCCATATTCAGATCATGGTGACCTATGCAAATTCAACAACTCTCTCTTCAACACATTCAAGCTTTATGTAATAATTAAGGGTAGTCACATGATCAGTATTTGTTGTATTTTTTGAAAAATTATACACGTTGCACATAATATCTGAAATGAAATCGTACTAATACTAACATTGAAACAAAAAAAAAAAAAAAAAACCCAAACTATAAAAAAATTAACAAAATTGAACATGGTTAAACTCGGTTTTGTTAACTTTTTACTCCGGTTAATTATGTGCATGCCCACTGGAAAAATGCTTAACATCAGAACAACAGCCATAATCTAGATCCTCAAGTTTCAAACTAACTAATGGGCTTTGTACAAGTTTATCATTGTGGGCTCCATCCCAGTCCCATCTCTCCCTTCGGCTTATTTGGTAACAACAATTACATAACTTTCATTTTTTATTTATTTTTTAATAATAAGGTGTTCTAAACGAACCACATATCATTACACTTATACAAGTAACATTAACACTACTTAGGTGTTCTAATTAAATCTGGATGAACTTTTAGGGATTTGAGTTTATCTCCACACAATAGTTTGTTCATGCACACGAACATGAAATTCTTGACATTTGTCATAATACTTATTTTGTTTAGATCATGCGTAACTAATAGTGAACAAAAATGGAGAAATCTGTTTTTTTTTTTTTTTTTGGTTCTGTATACCTTCATCCTTTAGCGTACATGTTATTTGTCTCATCAACCATAAAATGAATCCGTTCTTTACCTTCCCTAAAAAAAAAGAAACAAAAAAAAAAATATAGAAAACATGACTTTCGTTTAGGCTTCCATCTTCCATGGATCCTTATCATTTTTACTTAAATACATAGTTAGTTACAAGTTTAAACAAATAATACAGAAATTAGACATTCTATATAATCGGGATAGCAAAGCCACTATGGCTATGTATTCATTTACTTATTTCTCCTATCGAATGACTTTCTTTCGATTAATGGTGATACTAAATTGCCGCGGGGGCCGGGGAGGGGGACAGTTAAAAGTAAGTAGTATAGGTAATAGTTACCGATAGATGTTAGAACTTGATGGAACACAACATCGTCAGAGTTTCACATCAACGGAATGTAATAGTTCCATAGTATAGGTATATGCCTTCCACTTTATAAAAATAAATAAATAAATAAGTAGTATAAAAGAAATGATAAGGATGTGACAGAACATATTTGGAAGAAATGTTTGTGAGTTGCCTCTTTTTAGTTTTTAGCTTTATTATTGTCCAATGCCCATAATGTGTTGTTCCTTCGAGAAGGTAGAGATGTCGGTAACAATATTAGCACATTTTTATTTTATTTTATTTTTAAATTTTCATATCTCCAATATTTGCACAATATAATTGCATTACTACATGCCTTTTAGGCACCTTCTAAAAAAAATGATAAAGGCACAAAACTCACAGCTTACCTCCACCTTTAGCTCTTCCGCATTCACACTCCCTCTTTTAGCTACAATTTTATCATCTTTGATAAAGCCCCAATAGAGAATGGCTCATGTAAACATTAGAAGAAAATAAATATAAACGATTTGAGTACTTAAAAATAAATATCACTTCATGTTCCGCTACTTATAAAAAGATATTTTAATTTATCTTAAGTTTTATATATTGTATTTTTTTTAAAAAAAAGGAGACCAACATGATGCGAAACCATATAACATGCCACATTACCATTTTTCTTGAATTTGTAATGTTATATTATTATATACGTGATAAAATAGCCCTCCCGTTGACTGACACAATCATGCAACTTTCTTTCCTATACCAGACACATTGTTAATCTACTGTCTAAACGAGTTCGGCAAAAAATCTTTTGTGACACTTTTGTGTTATACTTTATGTAATACTAGTTAAATGATTGACACGTGTTTAATCACTTACTCAAACGGATTCATTTTCCATTTAGTTAGAGTGTTAGTATTAATAATAAGGACACGTGTCATTCATTTAACCAGTATCATTCCAAAAGAGAACTCTAAAATTACGGATTCTTATCACTATTATCAGGTTATTGGACGTACTTTTTGTATATGTTTCGTTTTAGTAGTTCATCGAAATCAATAATCCATCTTTCGTGCATGGAGTAGTCCACTTTCAATACACGTTACTCCCTCTATCTCAAAATTATTGTTCAGTTTGAGATTTCACTTCTAGTACATTTTGAATTAAAAATGAAAACTCAAACTGGACAATAATTATGGGACGGAGGGAGTATAATTTACAACCCGGATTTTTTATTGGATGGAAGGAGAGATAAATAGTTGTGGTCATCACAACAGAATATTCCAGAAAAATTTTGGGATATGTGACGATAGCCTTTATCCAAAAGAATAGTTGGAGGCCAATTTCAATCCATTTCCTTCAAATTATTGTGGGAAAAAAAAAAGCTAGCTTGACCTAATGTGTGAACATTAGGTTTATCACACTAAAATCTGGATAAAAACAACTGATAAAGTTAAAGGCAAAATCTCTTTAGTGCGCGCGCTGAAATATTTGTCCACCTTCGTAAAGTAGAAGAGGCCTTTAGTTATAGGTTTTTATGTGCTAATTGTTTGAAGTTTTTAGAAAGGAAAATGATGTCCTCAGAGTAGAAGTATTTTGGAGATACTTGGGGCTCCCTTCTAAAAAAAATCATATTTTTTGAATGAAAATTGAAATTCTACAAAAGTTACTACTTCCTACTAGTATTCTAAAGGTAGCCCTGTGGTCACTTTGTCTCGATCGTTCCATCCAAAGTGAGTGGGAAAGACTATTATTTTGCATTATCGTAATAGATTTGGACATTATAAATAGTGATCTCCCAAGGAAAGAATGATCCATCCGGGCAATTCATCACTCTTTGTCTGAGAGACTCAAGATGAGGAGTTTCAAGGGCTTATTCGTAGCAATTTTCCTCCTTTTGGCTCTTTTCATGGCCTCTGGTAATTCTCCTCATTTAGCTTTTCAAGGGCTTATTTTTGCATTTTGTGTTTGTAACGAGTCACTTTAACATATAGATGACACGATTGTTACACGATAAATAAGAATTTCACGGTATACTTCTTTTAACAAATTGTTGGCCACGTTCATATATAGGTCCAATAACTGTTGCTGAGGCCAGAACATGCGAATCTGAGAGCCACCGCTTCAAAGGGCCATGTGTAAGGGCAAGCAACTGTGCTGCTGTTTGCCAAACTGAAGGCTTCAATGGTGGAAGGTGCAGGGGATTCCGTCGCAGATGTTTTTGCACCAAACGTTGTTAAAGAAATCTGAAATGTGTGATCAGTCAATGATGCATCTCAAGTGAAAGCTTTACCTTGTCAACGTTTCCTTTTGGAGTGTTTTGTTGTTTCCTGCGTTTAGAGTGTGTGCAAGAATAAAGATATGGACGAATGAAATAAGGTTAAAAACAGTGTATTCTTTGTGAGAGATTAGTTTTTCTCACTTCTTCTGTTTGATTCTGTGCAATGGATGAGTGATGTAATCGGATCTTTGTTCTCTGAATGCTTGCCTTTTACCTATTTCAATGCCAATTATGTACTACTACTTCTCTAGTGGCCGCTTTTGAGCTTTGCAAAACTAGAAAGTGTATACCAAAATGAACTGATACAAGAACTTTCACTGCAACATCAACACAACAGTAACTATCACTAAGCTCGTCACAAACACTGTTTGTCGGAAAGCACAAGTTAATTGCTCCTCCAACTCACAAAACAAGTAGTTGCGTAATCAGAATCTGAAATGAAATAGTACTACTACATTGTGCAAAGTGAAAACGCACAAAAGATTGATTGCTGCACTTGGTAACCTACAGAAATTTAGACCAAAATGCATGTAGGCTAGTCTGTGATAACAGATTGGCTTCATTTCTCCTTCAGGACTTTTGGCTCCCCATCAAATCCCTTGTTTTTTTTAAAAAAAAAAAAAAAAAAGAGTGGGTTAGAACCAAATACAAGGATAGACACCAATTGCATCAATCAAACAGCCTAATGGGGAAAAGCCTGCTGTCAAATACAGTTCAAAACCAAGCACATTGACACAGTAGGATACTAGGATTTTAACCAAACCAAACTCTGGATACAAGAAATTTCAAAGGCTAAGGTTGCAAGGTTACCATACTATCTTTGCAGTTAATGTAATTACTTTTACCTCTAAACATAGTACCATTCAGGGAAAAACAACAATAAAATAATGGCTAATGTCAAATTTGGCTGTCGCGGTCAGAATATTAAGCACAGTTTACCAGGGGAAGAAGATTACAGGGAGGATCTTGGAAGAACCTGAAACTACAAATCAAATTTGGTTCCATCATGTTTCTTTTGACTTAGCCAGTCATCCTAGTTTTGAATTAATAATTCACATTTACAGGGCTCTATGTAGATGTCATTTGTATTCTGACCAAAAAGAAGAACACATTTCAAAGGAAATACAAAAGCATATCCAAAGTGGATACAGATTCGGACAACCAATTTCAGTAATCAACACAGCAGGTATGCAATCCTGAGGGAAAACCCAATGAAACGGACAACTCCTTACAAGAAGAACGCATTGAAGAAATTATCAAAGTGATTACAAACAAACCAGAAAAGTTACTGTCAAAGCATCAGAAAAACAAATAAGTGAAGTTAACCTTTATTGTTTAGTAAATCAAGCTGTGTCTAACCTTTATGAAATCCTTGAAAGAAAGGAAGCATGGAACAAAAGGAATCGCGTAACCACGCACATTGCGATCAACGGTTGCTCTAACTTTGGTTGCCATCATAGTTTCAGTATCACATGAATACAGGACCCCATAACCACCACACAACAGCAGTTCATTACCCCTCCAGAACACAATAGGATAATACAGCTGAGGCAGGACAGCAGGAAGGTGACTGCAATTAACGGTAATCTCCTTAGTCCATGATCCCAACTCACCATATTCCTTCATCAACCAGATATCCACCTGAGAGGAGCTGGAAATTTGGAAAATACTAAGGCATTCCCTAAAAACTGCCAGAGAAGTATAGTTATACCGCAGATACAACCCATTCGGTTGTGGAAATGGCTTAAGTTTCTCTTCACCAACGTCGAAAGCGAAAACAACATCATCCCAATTGAAACTGTCTTCAGTTATCCAATGAAGGGATCCTTTAAAGGTCACTTCAGAAAATTGGGTATCATCAAAGAAGATTGTGTCTGTCCATTTTCGACCTCGAGGTAAAGGGAGATTTTGTTTTAGAACCCTCCAACTATCATCACTACCAATTGTGCAAATCTTAACTTCAGTTTTCCCACGTTTCCATTTCCTAGTTAAAATCCTAAGCACTTTGTACTCATTAGTTTTCTCACAGAACCCAAACAGAAAGGCATCAGCTTTGACATTTTCTTCCACATTTGGTGGTGGAAGAAAAGCACGTTCCCCAGTCAATGGATTCCAGATATACAATTTATAACCTCCAAAACATGATGAATGATGCAAAATGCAAAGTAGCCCATTACAAGAACCCAACACAGTTTCATTCCCGGTTGGTTCATTTGTTTGCAAAATTCGAAGGGCATTTGGATTCAGGGTATTGTTATCATGATCATCAGCTTTCAGGTCAACCAAACTGTAATCATAATTAATGGAAAACATCACAACACTAAGAAAAGGCGGATTCTTGAAGTAGAGTTTACCGAATTCAGGATTGGAGATGTATGAGTACCAGGCCTTGCAAGCAAATTTGCAGGCCAAAAGTATGGTTACAGGGAGCCTTGAGAAGATATCGACCATTATGCAAAAGGGAATATCCAGGATTGAGGTTGGAGCACCTGAAGCATCTCCAAGATTTCTTCTTCTTTTGGATAACTCCATTAAAAAGGATTTTTTTGTGAGAGATTGTGAATGAGTAGTAAAACAGACCGAACTACTGTGTAATCTGAGTTTCCCTTTTCAAATTACACACGTTCGGGTTGGTTATAACTTATAGAATGCACGATTAGACAGTCACATCAAAACGTGGTGGGAAGTTCGCAATTGAAAATTTTGGAATCTTGCTTTACATAATTGAGAGGGAATTTTTCAAATTTGTCCAGAACTCTAAAGGCGCCAAATTTTGAACCATTTTCGAAGTTCATCCTTGAAATTTATAGGTTTGGTTAAATGAAAGGTTTATATTTCTGATTATATTGAAACCAAAACGTTGTTTTATTAATACGACATATTCGCTACGTCTCAAAATTATTGTCAAGTTTGGACTATCACTTTAAGTTTAAAGTGTATTAAAATAAAAATTCAAACTAGATAATATGATCATATATTATAAAATATGGCAGTTCAATTAGTGGATTGCTAAACGTAATTTAATTTTACTTTGCGCAACTTATGAAATTGAATAAAATACCCCTAAACCAAAAACCTTCACAAATCCTTTTTAAGATCATCTCTTTTTACAACTTCACACATATTCTTTCAAGAGACAGACAAAATTTACCAATTGTTCATAGTTTAAATGTCAGAGAACCGAAAAACATGTGAAAGATGAGAAATGAAGTGATTTTTGGGCGATTTTTTTTTTTTTTTTTTGTGTAATTGGGCAGTTTTGGGGTTATGGGCTTTGGTAGTTTTTTTTTGTATTTTTTTTGTTTTTTGGAAATATTTTAAGATAAATTTCTGGTTTTGGTATGATAGGTGATCACCAATCGGGCTTTTTTTTTTCTTGTGTGAAATGGATGATCGTTTTTCCTTTTGATGCAATTTTTTTTTCTTTTCCTTTTTTTTTTTTTTGGATGTGATCAACAGCTTTGCTATTATGGAGAATAGAATGTTTGAATTCTCTCTTGTAAATATCCAACCCAAGGATTTATCGGATTTTTGTCTCAGAAATTCCCATGGATGAATTTTTAGTACAAGTGTAGTTCCAGTTTTGTTGTCCGGTTTAGAGCAACGAGGCAACTAACTTGAAATTTTGAATTTTGAAGTCTAAAAAAATGGTTATTCCTAAATATAACTTGATTTTACTTCATGTAGCTTCATAGGGGTATTTTAGTCCATTTTACAAGTTACGCAATACCTAATAATTATCGATAATGAAAGGTAACCATGTGGTTAAAAATTAGTGAAGAGTTGGAGGCAGGTTTTTGCAAAGTTTGTTTTTTGGGTGTTGGTTGTTTCCTCACATATTCTATATTTCTATGAAATGGATGATTAATGGAACATGTATTTTTGTAATCTCTTCAGCTTTTACTTATTTTTAATACTATATATAGTGTATCATAGTTTTGCACAAATTGATTCTTTTGAGCTTTACAAACCAAAAAGAATTCAACTCCACAACCAAATCAAGATGACCCGATTTAAGAACTTCCGCTGCATCAACCGCCATTATCACTAATCTTTTTTAAGCTCCAGAATTTACTAACAAATAGAACATTTTAAGGATCTATCTTAAAATTTGAAAAGATATGTAAGCCTGTGATTTCATCCATATCACAACTTATAATTTTCCCCAAATCTTTCACCAACGATTGCATCTTTTAAATGGATTTCTTTCTTATTAGGGTGAACTACATTTTACCCCCCGAGTTTTAGCTCCATCTACCATAACCCCCCTTAATTTTGATAATATTACCATATGGCCACTGGACAGGAGGTTAAACATTAAATGACTAAAATAACCACTATTTACATGCACTTTATTTTCTTTTATTTTTTCACTTTTTGTTTTTTTTTATCACGAAAAATGAAAAATACTTAATTTAGATTTTTATATTTAATTATAACATAACTTAATGAATGAAAGTTAATCCATGATTAATAATGTAAGTTTATTATATTTTTAAAAAAATTGATTAATGAAGATTATTTAATTTCAAAAGACATAATATAGTTAATTTCAAAATAAATTATTATATAAGTCTTTTAATATAAAATGATTAATACAAAATATATTTTTTAACTTAATTTATGATATATATTATTAAAAAGAATATAATATAATTTAAAAAATATGAATTGAAGGGTATTTTTTGACCATTTATAAAAAAAATTATGATGATATTAATAAGTTAAGAAAGCATTTGGTAAGTTGACTCTGAGTTAAGGGGGTATATGGTAGCACTACTAAAACTCGGAGGGTTTACGGTAGAAAGGGCCAAAACTCGGGGGGTAAAATGTAATTCACCCTTCTTATTGTGGTCTTAAATCTCCTATAAATTAAAACATATAAATTCTTTTCTATGTGATAACCATTTTAATAAAGTTTTCTCCATAGTTAGAAACTATTGTAATACTTACACATTATGACAATACACTCGACACATGGTAACCAGACAAATAATAACAAGCACCTAGGTATACTTTGCAAGGTGTACCTCATGGGCATGTGTAATACACTCTCCTTCTACACAAGTTGATTTATTTATTTTTCTTAATTTTCAGTTACGCGCATTAAATTCTTCAATACTCATCCTATTTTTTTCTCACAGATTTAATTTTAAACCGTTTTTTTTATTTATCCTGTTATTTTTTATATTATTTTATTTTATAAGAAATTTTTTTTATAACTATGAATTTTATTTGCGTAAAATTGAATATGTTTCATCATTGAGACTTATAAATCCGAAAAATCAATTGAAGCAAAAAATTTGAACTGATTATCAATGAAATCTGGAGAATTAAGCGTCAAATATGAAATATTTTAATAGATAACGATGTTTGTTCGGATGAATAATGGTATTCTTATCGATGAATAATGATAATATTGTGGATAAATAATGGTGTTCTTATAGTGACAAAGTTATGGATAAATAAATTTAAAATTTTGAAATGAATATAGATATCTACGAAGATGAATAACGAAGCAAATGTTGAAGAATAATGATCCCATCCGAGATAAATAACAATAATAAAATGAAGAATAGATATATGTTTGCATGATGAATACACATGTCTATGAAATGAATAACACATGTTCAAACGATGAATGACATATATTTACAAGATGAATGATGTTATTTTACATTATTAATAACACTAGTCATTGTTTTTAGCATATACGGTCTTGAATGATTCGCCGATACTCAACACCTATATGTTGATTGTTTGATTTCACCAACTCTATCAAATATTTGATTCCCGACCGATTGAGTTCATCTTGATGAGCATTTCTTTGCCGTTGTTCAAACAAAAAGAACATTACAATAAGTGAGATTACACATTCAATCAAAACTCTGTTAATCATCAATAACAATGCTATTGAAGATGAATAATCATTTTGAAAATGATGAATAAACATTAAAGTTATCTAAATCGAATCCAGTTGATAATAATCGTGTACAGTACATATTACATGATGAATAACAACATAACTGGTGATGAATGACATATATTTGTATGATGAGTACACATACTTACGGAATGAATAACACATGTTCAAACGATGAATGACATATATTGACAGGATAAATAACACTATTTTACAGGATTAATGACACATATTTATAATTGTGTACAATCACATATTACATGATAAACAACATCGCTTGTAGTTTGTATCACAATTAGAATGAATAACTAAGCAAAAAATAATGAATAACTAGAAATAGATGATGAATAAACATTTCACAGAAGAAGAAACATATGACTAAAACAACCCAAAATTGATGATTAATAATGATATCGAGATTATGAATAACCGCCGAAAATAGATAACGATGTTAAAATCAGATTTCCAAAATCAACCACAAATCGATGAACAAGACTAGAACATCGATGAACTAAAATGTTTTAAAGATGAATAATGATATTAAACTGATGAACAAAACCTAGATGTATTAATGTTTTCCAAAATCAACCACAAATCGATGAACAAAACTAAGAAATTGATGAACTAACATCATTAATTGATGATGAATGATGAATAAACATTTCGTAGAAGAATAAAACATGACTAAAACAACCACACATTGATGATGAATAATGATACCGAGATGATGAATAATGCCAGATCTATGAATATTTTCTGAAATCAACCACAAATCGATGAACAAGACTAGAACATCGACGAACTAACATGTTTTAAAGATGCATAATGATATTAAACTGATGAAAGCACCTAGATCTATTAATCTTTTCCAAAATCAACCACATATCGATCAACAAAACTAATCGACGGGAATAATCTCAAATATTTGCCATCGGACAAAACACAAAACAGATCTATTAAACTGATGAACAATACCTAGATCTATTAATCTTTTCAAAAATTCACCAGACAAAACACAAAACAGATGAATAATCTCAAATCTTACCGTAATTCTCATATTCAGTAACGTATATTGCAACCAAACTCACGAGATTTGATGCACAATAGGATTTCGTCTTCAAATATACCGCCGACGAGAGGTTTTAATGCCAAATTGCTGCAGAGAATATTTTATTTTTTAAATTTTTTAGTTTGAGATTGAGATGTCTTTGGATTGGAATTGAAAGTTGGATGGATATAATTAATGATGACTGAAAATTAAGAGAGATATTAAAAAAAATTGAAATTTTTTTAAAAAAAATTTTACCTTTTTTTTAGGCGCGTGAATTTCAAACTTAGATGTACCGAACTCTATATTATAACTGATGGTAACCAAAGTATGACGTATCCCATAATTTGAATGGTTAATACATTTTCTCACCAATTCATATACTACTTTTTGTATCTCTATATAGTACTTAGTAAATTATTTTTAGAAAAAAAGGTATTACAATAAATATATGTAATTAGAGTGTAATTCGGAAAGGGTAGATAGTTAATGACTATTTATATGTTTTTATTATGACTATGTATCCTTACCGAGTTACGGTATAGTTATTTAAATTGACATAAAATTACCATAACAGTAGTAAAATAAGATTACAGATGAAATATCAACATTACCAAACTGTATGGATACCCAATTTCCCATCTCCTTCCTAATTCACCCTTAATTACGTGCAATCACGCAGTCTCCCACTCCCAACAGATTCTTTGTTTTAAGGATTTTGATATTTTTTTGAGCGATCCCAAATCTGATATCCACCATTTTCTCACCTCTCTCCACATCTTCCAATCCTTTTCCCCCAATTCAAAAAAGGGAAAAATAAACTCATCTACAACAAATAAGAACCCAAAATACCATTCTTTTAACCCTTTCTATCCATTGTTCCAATCATGGGATTAAAAGCATTGTTCAATAGGAAGAAGAAGAAATCTCCGTCGGCCGCTTCCGATAGTCAGACCACAAACCATTCCAGATCGTCGTCAGTCCAATTCAGAGCGAGAATCGAGGAAGAATTGGAACAAGTTTTCAAGAAATTCGATGTCAATGGGGATGGGAAGATCTCGTCTTCCGAGCTGGGTTCAATCATGGGAAGCCTCGGGCATCCGTCGACCGACGAGGAATTGAATAAAATGATCAAGGAAGTCGATTCCGACGGCGACGGGTTCATCAATTTGCAGGAGTTCATCGAATTGAACACGAAGGACGTGGATTCCGACGAAGTTTTGGAGAATTTGAAGGACGCGTTCTCTGTTTTCGACATGGACAAGAACGGGTCGATTTCGGCGGATGAATTGCAGAATGTGTTGAAATCTCTCGGGGAAGATTGTTCTTTGGCTGAATGCAAGAAGATGATCGGCGGGGTTGATGCAGATGGAGATGGGATGATCAGTTTCGAAGAGTTTAAGGTTATGATGATGATGGGTTCGCGTTTTGATTCGTCCGAGCCCAAGAATTGAGGAAACAACAACAGAGACAGAGACAAAAACAAAAACAAGGCATCAATTCATCATTGGTGATTTGGCTTTGCTCTTTTTAAAATTTTATTAGGAGTTCTTAAAACAATGTGGTAGTGTAAATTCTTTGCCTAATGAATTTCATTCTATAACTTGGGGATTCAATTCAATTAGGAATGCTTTCTGGTTATTGGAAATACGTTTTGGAACATTTGGATTTTGTGGGATGTCGTTAGACAATGATTACACGTATCGTTTTGGCCACTTTGTAATTCAAAATGATTATTCAAATTTTGAATGAGGAGCCTTTCGTTGTCTTGTCTCACAATCTTCAAGTTTCTTAATCATCAAATTTCAAAACTCCGCCTAAAAATCATTAGGACTAAAATAAAATTAGGCTTAAGCCATACACTTTTTTTTTTTTTTTTTTTGAGTAGATTAGATATTTGTTGCCCAATAACGTGACATGGGATTCTGATTTTTGGAAGAAAAAGAAATGGTAGTAGGTGATCATGTGGTAGGTTTTGGTTGGATGGATTCTGTAATCTGAATTAATAGTAGCTGATCAAGCCAATGAGAAGTGAGTGTAACAGAACAAACAATAATTACATGATCCCTTTTTGGTTAGAATTAGATCCCCTGCAGCTCAAGGTTTTTCATTTTTGTTTTGGCTGGAAATTCTGGTGTTTGTCTTCTTGCTCGAATTAGGCAGTCAAATCAAATTAGACCGGTCAAAGACAAACTGATTATTAGTATTAAAATAACGTTGTTACAGTGTTGTTACATTGTTTGATGCCTTGCCCCCAGATGTTTTTAATGTTTTTGTCTGGTCTTCTGTCGGTCGTTACAAGTTGCAATCGATTTAAGAAGTTTTTAGTTTAAATTCGAGCCGTTTATGCAGTTTTTCCTTTCTTTTTGTTTTTTTTTTTTTTGTCAGAAAAAGAATTTTCCATTAACTAGCAGTAACTGCTCAGCAGAAAGTAAAATACAAAAGTTGAAATATCCAGTATGTCTCAAAGCTAGCTGTGATTGCATTTTGCCCAACTGTTTCAAACGTGCCATAAAACGTTACATTGGCTGAGGATATACTAATGTACTATAACATAAGAACAACAAAGAATCTGCAAGAGTCCCATGTTACAGAAAACACAAAAATTACACCAACTAGGTCATATAACTTCATACCTCCATCTTTGGGCTTTTTATGTTTTCATTTTGCCAATCCGGCACTTCCAACGGTGGTACTTGGTAGACTTACAATTTACAAATGGGAGGCTACTAAACGCCTTAATTTTTTCATTTGAACGCATTAAAAAATCTTAAAAAGATTATTTTGCCCTTACATACATTTTTTTTTTTTTAAAAAAGGGAGGGAGCGAGGGAGCATTGTACCAGCCTTTCACGGCTGGCGCAGGAAAAAGGCGCCACCCTTTAAAAGGTGGCGTATAATTTTCTCGCCTCCCAATTAAGGGAGGCGAGAAGGAATTTACCCCCAAAACGGCGGTTTGGCGAGCAATTGCTCGCCAAACCGAAATTAATGTTTTTAAAAATTATTTAATTAATTTTTAAATTTATATATTTTTTAAATTTATTTATTTAATTAATAAAAGATAATTATAATGGATTATCTTCCAACTTAATACAAAGAAATTATCTTTCAACTTATTTAAACTAAATGTAATTTTTCTTTGACTAAAATAGTAATAAATGAATGAGTGATATGTCTTCGTTTAATCAATTAATAAAAAAGTTACGTACTATAGCTTAGTTGCTCAAAATGACAAAATAACTAAGTACTCATTGTCTATAGCTTTTCATAAGTTTTAGTTGTTATTAAATGATAATTTTTTAATTTAAGTTTAAAAAATTCTACATAATTAAATGATAAATTTACTACGTAATTAGGCAACATTCTCCAAATATTCAAGTTAAAAAATTATTTATATAACCACCAAACAAATAAATAAATATACTTAAATAAATAAATAAATAAAATAAATTAAAGAATTAATTGAATAAATAAATTAAAAAAGAAATAAATTAAATAATTTTTTTTTAAAAAAGGGTGGCGGCCGGTTGGACCGCCACCCCTTTTTAAGGGGCAAAAAAATGGGGTGGCAAGAAAAGTGCACGCCACCCGTTGCATGTTCCTCCTGCGCCAGCCGTGAAAGGCTGGCACAATTATTCGTCGCCTCCTCCATTTTTTAAAAAAATAAAAATAAAAATAAATGTAAAATAATTTTTTTTAAATTTTTTTAAGGTACTCAAATGAGAAAATTAGGACTCTCAACAGTTTGACCCGTTACAAACGGAGGAAAAGTACTAGGGGAAAAATTAAAAGTAACTCTTACTTAATCCTTCTCAGAAATATACAGTCTAATTTTGTTAATAGTATTTTTTTTTAAGCTAAAAATTAACATGCTAGAAAAAAGGAAGCCGACGAGATCCCAAAGATCACAAACATATCCACTAACAAAATCAACACTTTCAGGAGCCCTATATACCGCACTGCGAAGTGCCTATTTCGCCAACTTTCCAGCTTCAGCTTTGGAATATCCCCTCACAGTAAATAAATTCAAAATTTAAGGTGCACTAGTTTTTTTGGAATATTTTGGGATAAAAGAATAACAAAAATGTACTCACTCCATTCTAAAATAAAAATTATAAAATAAGTGTCATTTTCTGATTCTAATACGTTTTTTATTAACAAGCATTTATTTTGATGGGTTAGTTGAAAATATTCTTGTAATTTACTTATCCTATTTACTACCATTTTGTTTTGAAAGAGAGCAAAATTGAAAGGCATAGAAGATCACTTTTTTAATGGGAGCTGATAAATTAAGAGCTAAAATTTTATATTAAGAGTAAAATTTTTAAAATTACCAATATTACCCTCCAATAAGATTTCGATACATCATACTTATTACTCCTTAAATTTCTCCATTCTTTCCTTAACTCCACCTCTTTTTACAACATCAATAAGGAAAAAAAAATATTTACTTAAGAAAATAATAAATTAGAATGCCAAAAAGCTAATATGTAAAAGTAAAATACCATAACCTAGCAAAACAACTAAAAATGATTTTTTTATTGGCTTCAAATAACTTAAAAAGGAAAACAAAGTAAAACTTCAGAAAAAATTCATAAAAATATTTCTCGATATTTACATGTTGAAACTGTGGGAGTTATAAAATCATTTACATTTTGACCAAAAAATAGTATGTTGATTAGTAAAAATGGAATCACTAAATAACAATGAATTATCACCCCAAGATGCAATAATACTAATGCAACACACAAAATAACTTATTCCAAAATCTATAATTTTTTTTTACTAACAAATAATGCATACGAAATCCTAATAAAAACAAGAGTACTTTTGCTATGAGGAATTCAATAAAAATTTTATTAAAATTATATGTAAAATTTTTAGTCTCAAACGTAATTTTTATCTTTTTCTTATTTGAGAAGTTATAGTTTCATAATTTTGCAAAAGGAGATACTAGAATTAAACATTAAAGGAGAGAATTAAGGATGAATAAACATGGTAAATTTTTTAAATCTTGTGTGAGGGTAATATTGACAATTGATGAGATTTTGCTCTTATCTCTTATACTTATAAAAGAATCACCTCCAATTGTATTCCAATATTTTGATTGGCTGAGAGACTCACGATGACATCAACAATTTTAAAAAGGGCTAAAATCATCATTACAAAAATAATATTTTTTCTTCTTTTTTTCCTGAATAAAGGCAAAAACTGCCTAAAAACTAAAAACTTGGAGATCAAAACGCTCCTATATAAGCAAAAAGCCACCCGAACTTCCCATATTCTCTCCGCCCCTTCGTTTGTTTCTATTCCCCGTCGTTTTCCGACGTCCAACACCATCCTCAATGGCGACAATTCTCCGCTCTCCAACAACTATATTCCCTATACGATCCTTTTCCTTCTTCCCACTGGTGTTTTCCAGATTCAGTTAATCCCCAAATTTAGACTCTAATTTTTCCATTGTTTCACCTCTTCCTCCGACTCCAAATTTGCTGACAAAAGTATCAGTGGTGGAGTGGTGTTGGTAGAGGCTTAGAGGATGGGGTGCAGAAGGTGGAGCTGGTGGTGATATTCGAGATTTTCGTATTGGTGCAGTAAAATACCCCTCCAAAGATCTTATCGCGGTCGTTACCTAACATAATTCGCTCCAGCTAATAGCTCCAATCTTCCATTTGTCTTCTAAAACGCAGAGTGGACCCAGACGAGAGATTGAAACAAAGCCCACTTGATTTCTCCCAACAAAATTGACAATACGCATTGATTGGGATGCTGAATATTAAATCTAGAGAATTGAAGCTACGATATTGGTTCTTTATAAGGAACGAGACCGTACGCAAGAGGAAGGAGGTGAAGGTAATTCTGCCCGAAGGGTTTATCAACAGAAAAGATAAGCGATTGTTTGGACTCCCTCGCCATTGAAAAACGATAATCAGATTCGCTTGATTGTGAAATTACTAATTTAGCTAGCAGAAATTTATTACTAATATATAGGGTCTCAATAGAATTGGAAAATATTTGTTTTGCGCTAAATATTGTATAGTGTTAAATATTGTACGGTTTTTTTTTCACCTTTAGTCTTTTAGAATGCTTGTGCTGGCTTGCTCTGTCAAATATGTATATTTGTGTTTTGTGAAGAATGCAAAATTTTGAAGCTCGCGATCGTCAATTTGTTGATGTTAATTTTGGCGATTTCTTTAGGCAAAATGTAATTTGGTCTTAGGTTGAATTGTAAGGCTGGTTTTCTGGATGATGATAGAGGTAAGCATCATTTTATTTGTACACAGTTGGCTCTACCTGAAACAAATTACTGATATTCCCATTCCTTAATTACTATTTTGGTTTTATTGCCAAATTTGGAATAAAAGTGTTGTATTGTGGACTTCAAATCTGGAAAAGCGATTTTTTTGGTTAAAGATGTTTTAATTTTTAAGCTGTATCTCATACTTTTATTGTTGTATGTTTGAGAGTTGTGTAATTTAGTGGTTTAACATAACGAGAGAATAGGCCTTTTCATCCCAAGGTTTGAGCCACACCATCTAAAACATCCCAAAGTTTAAAAGTATGCCATTTTTATCCCAAACTTTTCAAAAATATGTAATATTAGGATATTTGTTAATTTTTTCAAGTTATTAACAACGATATTTCATTTAGTTTCTTTCCCCCCCTTTTTTTAGTCAAAAAGTTTCATGCTTGCGTTTGGTAAATTTGGTCTATGCCAAGCAAAAAAGTTGCATGCCCCTGCATCAATTACAACACCAATTTTCATAATGATGCTACATATTTAAAAAAAAAATGAAATAGGGCTTACTTTCTAATTAGGACACACACAAAACCTCTCATGATTGTTATCAATTTAGAAGGTCAATCTTGGATTTTTTTTTTCTTTTTCTAAGCAAGGGAAGAATGGATGATGTGAAGACCAAATTAGGTTTAGCTATTTTCTTATAAGGTGGGAGTTAGTGGAACGTGTTAAATGATTAAAAGAATTGGGGGAGGAGAAACAGAATAAAGTATCACCACTAATTAATTAACTGGAGTTAGAAATTTAACGAATATCCTAATATAACATGTTTATAAAAAGTTTGGGATATAAATGGCATATTCTTAAACTTTAGGATGTTTTGGATGGTGTGGCCCAAACTTTGGAATGAAAAGACCCATTTTCCCTTAACATCTATACAGCATTCTTTTGTAGCTTTCCATTTTCTATTTCCATTTCTGCATGGAGTAATTGAATAAGACTCCAAGTTTTTAACCTTTACACAATGTTATCTTTCTCTGTTTGTAAAATATAAATGTCTAAAAAACATCTCTGTAAATTAATATTTATTTGCCTGCTGCTATGATTTACTCTTTAATTCTTTTCAAAAAGTGAACTCTTTGGACCGAAATTTCTCATGGTCATCCTCCTGCAGGGCTGGTTTTCGTAACAAGGAATAGGAAGTCGGAGCAAGGAATAATACTAATTATTTGGTAGATTTTTTCTTTTTCTTTTTTCTTTTTTCCTTTGACCTCCTAAGAGTTAAGTTAAATTGGCTGAAGGTAATCAATGGTAGATGGGAGACGAGAGATTTTGGGAATTTGGAGGCGATAGTAGTCGTGGACGAAGGTGGAGTTTAAAATCTGCTACGTCTTCTTTTATCGCATGAGCAGAAAATCAATCACCCAATATATAATTCACGGCAAATCAGGAAGCGGATGAAGAGGTGTGGTAGGGAGTTGTTGGTGGGAGAGCTGCTGGAGATGGTGGCGGAGGAGGAGGAGTAGTTGGCATCATAGTTTGGTTTTGCAGTCAAATCAAAAAATTACCTATTATTGTCAGAATCGGTGTTTCAACAATTGTGTTAGGATTAGGAAATTTTTTAGTTAGCCAGCTTGTCCATCTATAAATACCACGACATGCACCTCTTCTTCACGATCCAGAATTTCTTCTACGTTAATTTAGGTACAATTACTTTTTAAAAATAAAAATAAAAAAATCTTGATTTGTTTCTTATTTGCTCGATTGGTTCGATGTCAGTGTATTAATTGTTCCTCGTGGTTTGGCCAGTTTTTTGTTCTCTTAAGTATTGTTTTGTATCTTCTTAAGTTAATTGAGTTAGCGGCAATATATTTTTAGCTCTAGGTTGTTGAATTTTTTACTTTTCTACACTGCAGAAACTGGTTGATCACACTGGAATACAGTTTTAAAGGTTTTTGATATTCAAAGTTGTTGTTTGGGATTAGGAATCGATGGCCATTTTTCTTGCTACTTTGATGAACTATGGTTACTTTAAGTATCTATTCCTTATGATTTTGCCTTGAACTTGGTTTATGAAACTGCCACGACGAAGTTATTTCATAAACTGCCATGAATTGTGTTGTTGTCACTGGTGAGACAAAGGTGCTAACGTGCTTCAAAGGTCTTGAAGCTATATATAAATCTGATAAAGGTAATTCAAGAAGCAGGTCATTTCACTCAAAAGTCTCCACTGTTGGATGAAAAACAGATGTCAAGTGTTATCTAATTCTTTTGGCTTCTAGCCTTATTTATTATAGTAGAGCAAATTAATTCTTTCGACAAAATTTTGAATAACATCACTGGATCGGAATTTTCATGGCCATCTCCGTTATGTAATAGATAGGGAAAACAAAGTGGTTCTCCCTTTTGTTTCTTAATGGTTGTTAACACCCCTGATAGAATTCATGCTCGGTAATTGTGTCCAACAATATTAATAGTCTTTAAACCTCTTATTTTTTTATTAGGAAATTATTTGCAGAATTTATTGATAGAATCTCGCACTTTTTTGTTCTATTATTATGACAATAATAAAAGAAAAGAAAAGAAAAGAAAAGAAAAGAAAAGAAAAGAAAGAATCACTTATGTACTCAGTATTCTCTCTTTTGAGGGTGATGAAATTCCAGCGGGAAATCTTGCGGAACCCACCAAATAGGAGTATGCATGTGCTCACGTAGAGTTTGTATTAATTCTTTTCTTTACAACTTTGTTTTTTCTTATAATTTTATTAATCAAAATCCATCATACAATGAATTCCAACCAATTTAATGAAGTTGATTTTAATGTTTAAATTGAATTACATGGTATTAAAAATGATTCCTCACTATTTGAAATTTGAACTGGTCGCTCGTTAAACAAACTAGTTATAAAATAAATGCTCTCAATTTATCAATTTTCTTTTTTAATGGAGAAATGTTTGCTTTCGCGTAATGGAAAATTTGGACAATTTTTCAAAGAGTTATTAATACTTTCGTTTCGAAAAAGTAATCTAATTTTTTTAAAATTAAAATCTTGAAATTACAGATATCAAAATTCTAGGATCCATTTTTTTAAATTAAACTTGATAAATAGGAATAATAATATATTTCATTTTTCAGGTTGAGATATTGCAAATTATCTAATTTATAGACTTTAGTTTTTTAAATTAGAATATTTTTATAGTGGGAGTAACCTTTGCAAAAAAAAAAAATAATAATAATAATAATAAAATATTTTATTGATCCAAACGATTGGGCTCATTGGGTTAACGTTCTTCTATCCAGTTTGGGCCCTCTTTTCGGCCCTTAGGCTATATAACAACTCCTCGAAATTTTTCTTTCTTAGGAAAATTTTCATTTTCTCAGAAGAAAATAATGTCGATGGGCACCAAGGTTATGCTGATGGCCAACTCACTATCCCAATTCCGGCCGCTGACATGCGTTGCCGCTGGCAATATCTACCACGGCAGGCTGGTTCCACAGCCACCGGACCTAATTAAATGGGTGAGAAGAGAAGGTGGGTTTGTGCACCAGGGTGTGAAGTTAACACATCAACTGAACTCCTCCGACGGCATTGGTCTCATGGCAACTGAAGAAATCCCAAAAGGGTCTGATCTTATTGTTCTTCCTGATCATATACCATTGAAATTTGGGGCTTCTGAAGCGGATTCTGAAAGTGGGCCGTACACTTCTTTGGTCAAGCTCGCTCAACATATTCCTGGTATCACTCTTTCCTGATGTTTCTTTATGTTTACAATTTATTTGGCTGTCCAGATTGCATTTTTATGCTCTCATTTATTTAGCATGTACTGCAAGGTTTCTGTTTATCTGAGTCATTTTAAGTGTAGGTTAGTGACTATATTCTTGTGAATTAGGCTTTTGAATTTTGAACATAAAGGAGTAAACTGGACTTTTGGAGAATTTGACAGAGGAGCTGTGGTCTATGAAACTTGGTTTGAAGCTTTTACAAGAAAGGGCAAAAAAGGGTTCCTTCTGGTGGCCATACATCAGCAATCTCCCAGAAACATTTACTGTCCCTATATTCTTCCAAGGGGAAGATATAAAGAACTTGCAGTATGCTCCTATACTTTATCAGGTAGGTTTTCATAAGTGTCTGTTCTATACTCGAGACCCATGATTTAATTAACTCCATAATCTTTTATTATGAACTTACTATAGTGGTATAAAATTGGGAGCCTCAGAGAGGTGAAGAGCTAAAATACTTGGATTATTTAATAAGGGGTGTTGCTAATTCTGTCAATTTGAATTCTAGATTTATGTTAAACTATGCTGTGATTTTCTTATTTCTAGGTTAACAAAAGATGCCGGTTTCTTCTTGAATTTGACAAACTAGTGAAAGAGGAACTTCAAAATCTGAAAGCAAGTGATCACCCTTTTTCAAGCCAGGATGTAGATGCATCTTCACTTGGTTGGGCAATGTCAGCAGTTTCTTCTCGTGCATTCCGCTTGTATGGCAACAAACTACCAGATGGGACACACAGTAATGTCCCCATGATGCTTCCACTTATTGATATGTGCAACCACAGCTTCTGCCCAAATGCTGAAATCGCACAGGAACAGGATGCGCCAAATGGAAGAATGCTGGTGAAGGCAAGAATTCTTTATTCGTGCTAGCAACTGCTTTCTGAAGCCTATCGATTTGTTAAAGACTTCTTGTTGATCTTTTATGCCCTTTCTTTGCCAGGTTGTTGCAGGAACACAAATAAAACAGGACGATGTATTACATCTTAACTATGGGAATTTGAGTAATGATCTCTTTCTTCTGGATTACGGATTTGTAATATCCTCAAATCCTTATGACTGCGTTGAGCTTAAGTATGATTCAGCTTTGCTGGATGCTGCTAGCATGGCTGCCGGAATATCTTCTCCAAACTTCTCTTCACCAACTCCGTGGCAACAGCAAATTTTATCTTTGCTGAATCTAGATGGAGGAGATCCTCAATCACTAAAGGTTTGTGCTTCACATTATTTCTTTCAGTTTCTGGATCAAATTGAGCTAGATCCTGTCAGTTTTGGTTCAATATTATGTAGCATCATCTTGTTCAATATTTGACCTGTATAAGCATATGATGTAGCAGCATCTTCACAAACTTCATTATTTTCATTATCTATCATATTTGGAGTATAAGTAAGCTTTTATACAATGATTACCAAGTTCAATAAAATATTTCAAATAATTTAGCAAACTTCAGAACGGTTATTCTGTACTTAGCAAACTTGAGAAGTAATGAGCTTTTTTCTTTCTCATTGAAGGTAAGCCTAGGAGGATCAAAGGTAGTAGAGGATCGTCTGTTGGCAGCCTTGCGAGTGTTACTATCAAATGATGAGGAGCTTGTACAAAAACATGATTTGGATACTCTTAAGTCAATATCCGTTGAAGCTCCTTTGGGAATATCAAATGAAATTGCTGCTTTCCGTACTCTGATTGCCTTGTGTGTCATTGCTCTGGGACACTTTCCAACCAAGATCATGGAAGATGAGGCCTTGTTAAAACAAAAGGTATCCGCGTCATCCGAGTTGGCTATCCAGTTCAGAATTCAGAAGAAGTCTCTTATTATTGATTCCATGCGGGATCTGACTAGGAGAGTGAAATTACTTTCTTCAAAACAATCATTGGCCTCTCAAGTGTAGTTTTCCATTTACTGGTTCTTTCTTTAAACTTATATGCCCCGAGTGTTTACATATTACAGTAGTCCATCACACTGCTGTTGATAGGACTGAGGTTCATCAGTTTACCTTGGTTGAGTCGGAAGCTTTGCTTGTTTTGCTTCTTTCTTGGAGTTTTGGCCATGAACAGATGATATGTAGTGGCTTTCTTAGACTTGGTACATGTAGAATTGTCACTTCATTACAAGATTTTGGCAATTTTTTCCACCTCGAAGCTTGATTCTTAGATTCACCCATTGTCGATGATGAATTAAAAGCTGAAAATTTATCTGTAAATCTACAATCATCTGTGAACACCAAGACCGACAGCATAATCACTTTTATACTCATTCTTCCTATTAGCAGCGGCTAATTTATGAAGGAAAAAGAAGTTTGAAATTGAAGAAAAGAGACATTGTTTTCTTTGTCCATTCTTTTTGTTTTGTTTTTTTTCTTTTTTTCATACAACCTAATGTGTCTCAAGGTAAATCTTCGGTGGATTCTTGAATCTCAATTTGGCGGATGAGAGGTTTTTTTGTGTAATCCAGAAATGAATAGTAACGTAAATTTTACAGATTAAGCACTTTGATATCTTTACAATTAAGTTGACAATATAACAGTAAAATCTCTTAGCAGTAGATGAAAATAGAACTTTGAAACAAGGCTCTCCGTCAAACTGACATCATATTCACATAAGTGAAAGCTACTTTTTCAAGCCGATGAATTACAGATAATAACCTTTACATGTAAGAAAGAATCTGAGAGAAGCGCATAAGCTAAGTCTTCCCACATTAAAAGGGTGTTTGCATTTCCAGCAATCCACATAAGGTTCCCGCCACTCAAGTTCCATACTTCAGTTCGAATGAGCTACTAAATTCTCCATTTCCTTCTGTTCCATCATCACTAACTAAGAAGAGGCAAACAAGATGTGATATTCATTTCCTGTTTTTCTATTCTAAGGCTTGGCATTTCAGAATCAAGTAACTGGAGTTGCCTTTTAACCCATGGTGGATTATCATGCTGTAGCCAGAGAGCTTCACCGGTGCTCATGTGCTTGAAATCTGGATGCTTGGGATTAACCTTGCTCCTTCTGTAGTCCTTCCACTCATAAGGGTTGGCGAAAAATATTTGCCACAAATGAAGACGCTCCTTCTCTCTCTCTAAATCATCTTCAGGAGAAGTATAAAAATATAAAAATTTAGGACTTCACATATGATATCAAGAGTAACATCCCAGAAAAAAAAATTTGGAGTATAAACTAACAAGAGAAGTGCTGTGTCGAATGCAGAATTGAAGACTTAACACAGTTAATGGGATGAAATCAAGTTGAAAGGAACATAGAAACGCTGGACAACTAGCTGAGATAAAGGGTTGTTCCTCCAAAGCTATTTGAATCCGATATCATAGATTTTAAAGAAAAACCAAAAGGAAAATGTTGCTAATCTCTGTCAACTACAGAAAGTGCAATTTGAGGAATATCCAATGTTTGAACTTAACAGGTATCAAATCTGAAAAATACAAGACAAATCATTCGATGTTGAAAGCTTAAGAAAAATATAGCATTTATACCTTGTAAGTCTAGTTTGTTCGATTTGCGGTATACAGGCTTATCATCAGCAGTCTTTGCGACGTAATTTAGTTCTTTAACATCAACCTGCATAGGAGGAGGAAACCAAAATGTAAACAGAAAAGAAAGAAGAGAGTATACCAAATATATGATAACATATTGGTGTCATCTTTGAACAATCCATTTACACCATAGGAAAGAAATACACTACACTTAAAGTAATGCTGATGCATATGAAGTGGCTTTACATTGAGGACTAACCAAAACCATCAAATTCGTGAGCATTTGAAATAGTAAATTAAGGAGTTGTCTCATAGTCAGACTTGAATGAAAGAGTTATTAGATGCACTCAATAACTTAATAATTCTTGACAAAAATCCCCCAAAAACAACATAAGACTGGTTGTGAGTGTTGTTTTTGAATATGTGTCCGATGATCCAGCTTTAGACGAATATTAGTTCAATTTATGTCATATAACTAAGATAAGAGTATTACACAGTAGCCAAAAAATGTAAAGGGAAATTGATATTAAACACCATAAAAGGGGCACAACAAAAGTGGAAAAGCCAAAAGCACCCATCCTACCATCTCTTACCTCCACTATTCCTGTGGCTTTCTCAATGAGCTCTCATCACTCAATAGGGGGGATCAACATTCAAACTACTTGAAGAAAATTGCTAATTTATCAATCACAAACATGAATATTGGGATCTGAAATCAATGGTAACGAGACGGTTGGAACTAACAATCTTATCTAGCCAAAAATAATATTAAAAAAAACATGAAGAAAATATAACGCCAAACAAGATCACACAGTAACTCAGATAATACTTGTTATACATAGCAAAACTTTTTGGTCAACCAATTCCCATTATTTCAGAGAAGTACAAACATGTTAGGGTTACGAACACCATTTATAGCAATCAAAACTATAAAATTCACCACGCATACACCTAAAATACTACCTCCATCTCAAAAAAATAGTCCACATTGAGTTTTGAGATTTGTACTAGTATTAGTACAAATTTGAAAACTCAATGTGGACTATTTTTCTGGGACGGAGGGAGTATCATATACCATGGATTGAACATGTCATCAACTGAATTTTCTACCTGGTAATGTATCCATGGATTACCATTTCGGTCAGCCTTCATATATGATCCCAGGTGACCCCTAACATAAATGAAATCATTCGGTTTCAGATGATTTAGTGACATCTCTGCCATTTCATGCCACATCTTCAACAAAACCCTGTTCAGAAAGAACATAAATCATCAAAACATAAAAACGTAAATTAAAAGAAAAACCCACTCACTATAATAGATAGACTGCTTCCTTTTTATCATTAAAAAGAAAAAAAAGAAGAAGCTCAAATTAAATTCTGAAAGAGAAAACCTAATTCAGAAATCACAAAGCCGATTAAAACTCACTGAAAAGATTGTTTAGATTGCCGGGCGGCGCTGACTTTGAGCACAGTGTGAACCCCCAAACCGGCATCGCAATTGATTCTTTTCAATTCACGAGTAACAGTTCCAATCAAGCTGACAGAGTTCACCGGTTGGGTTTTATAGACAACGGTGGTTGGGCGCTGAGACTTGAGGGCCTCCTGATAAACTGAGCTCTCGGTTTCCGTGTCGGCATCGGCAAAGAAACTCCATCGAGGCCGGGTCGAAGCACGGTGGCAAAAGGTCCGAACCCGATCAAAGGGGAGGAGATTGTGAAGTTTCCAAGACTTCTTTGTGAGGGAAAAAATAGCTGAGGAAAGGGGCATATCAAATTTGAGGAAAGGGCATAACAAATTTCATCGATTAACTTGTGGGAACTGACTCTACTATTGTGGTGAACGGCGGTGGAGTGGCGGTGGTAAAAGTGGAGAAAAGTCGAAACGGCGGCGGGAGGATCAGGGTGCCTCCTCCTGTCTTAAGAGTCCAATGAAGTCAAATAGTCAATGCATCTAAACTGGAGTATTTGTTGTTTCTTTGTTTCCTTCTCAAGCAAATAATTATTAAATTCTCAATTCTTGCCTCATCAAATTTGTGGGGTTTTTTTTCTTTTCTTTTTTACAACCACCATAAAATTGTATTCTGTTTATTAAAAATACTTATTAAATTTGAATATTTTTTAATTCTAATACAATCTGTATTATTTTAAAATATCAAACTACACGATCATTTTGTAACGTAAAAAATATTTTGTCCAGATTGATCCAACCTACCCAAACATTTCTTTAAACTATTTAGAGCCTTCTAATATGCTGTTTCTAAGCAATAAAAAAGGATACTTCTAGTAGAAATGGCAGAATTATTCCAAGGATTTTAGTACAATTGCAGTTCAGTCTCAAGGAAAAAAAAAAAAAAAAAGAGTCTAGCATTTCAAGCAATAGGAGCGATCTCGTATTGAATGTCTATGAATTTACAACGAGTTTTAATACTCTACCGTGGGTATGTAAAATGAAAATTAGATTGAGCATTCACATACCAATTAGTATATCTCTACGTACGTATGGGCTCTTTGGCTTTCTTACACTTAGTTTTGTTGACGTTTGGTTTCTGGGATTACTTGAGAATTTCCCTAAATAATTGATTCACCAACCGTCCAACTGATTAGTTTACTGAGAGTAGACGGGGTCCATCTCTAAAGAAATTGTTCATCAATTTCCTAATTTAAGAATCATCACCGAATTAGATCGTGCTGCTTAACTAATTAACTCCAAAAGTGATCCATCTTTTCTCACTTAGGTAAGCTCACATAAAATGATAAAATTCGAATAGCCAGCATTAAGAAAATTACTAACTTACAGGGTATTAAAGAAAGAATAATTTTCTTTTATAAAGAAAAAAAAAGAAGCAAAAACACCTTATATCTATTATTCTCGAAATGATTATTCAGTTATAAAATTTATAGTTTCGAAATAATGTATTTTTCTTTTTTTTTAAAAAAACAAATTAACCAATTATTTTGTGACCATTTGTACTAGTACGCAGTTTCAAATTTTTCACAGTATCACGGTTGAAAATTTGATTAGCGAAAGAATATTCATCTCTCATAAAATTTCAAAACCACTTGAGTGATTCGCCCGAGGATCAATGCTCAGTCGCGGTCTGGAAATCCGTTTTTGTGTCCGCAAACTCCATAAGACAAGGATCACCAGAAATTTTAAAAAATTGTCCTAGAAAATCAACACCAGGCTAATGTACTAACATAGAAGAAAACTGAAGTCTAAAGAAGTTGTTTAGGTAGGAAACGTTATTATTTGTCGGTAGAACAAACAAAGCCTTTGAACAACCGGAATTATATCATCCCAATTCTCTGCAAAATTTCCAAGTTACAAACAAAAAACCAGGTACTGATCAATCCATCATCAAAAAAATAAAAAATAAGACTGGAAAGAGAAGTGAAAATCAGTTCCCAATTCTGATCATCCTTTCTAAATCTAAAAATATATACATAAACAACGATCAAGAACCAAGAACCAAATCTCAGAAAGAGCTAAGAAAAAAACAGAGCCCAAAACAGGGGAAGCCCAAAAAAAAAAAAAAAAAAGGAAAGGGGGGGGGAAGGAACTAAACTAGATACAAAAGGAAAATCAGAGAGGGTCTAATTTTCAACTTCTTCAATATCTGTCGTTAATTAATTCCCAACAGAAATAGTCCTGTTTTCTGCTAATCCCAAAGGGGATCTTGACCTCTGCCTCAAAGCAGTTATATCTTTCAAAACGGGCCTCATCTCTGACTCCTGCTGCAGAGCCGGATGCTTTATTTTCTCCATCTCTTGCTTAATTTTCTTCACCTGGCTGTGAACTGCAACTCCAAGATATCTATCCTTGTTATCTTCTTTGCTGTTGATATTATTGTTGTTGTTAATCACGTTTCCCTTTCTGGGCTGCTCTGTTTCAGCGTGTTTAACCATTTTTTCTTACAGAGCTAAAAAAAGAAGGAAAAAAAAAGACACAACTTTCCTGCTTGATACCTAACAAACAACCCAACAACAAAAGAGACCAGTTTTTTCTTGCCTGAAGAGAGATTGTGTGAATTGGAAAAAGGGGTTTGTGAGTATTTATATTTGGGGAGGAAATGATGAAAAAGGGAGACACGAGGTGTTCATGAATGGTAAAAGAAGAGGAGCTTTAGGGAAGGTTAGTAAATGAAGGGTGGGGATCAAATTTGGTGTGGTTTTTTTGAAACTTTGAACGAAATGGAAAAAGAAAAATAATGATTTTGGGATTTATGGTGGATTTTGGGGGAAGTTTTTGAAGGTTTCTGGAATGATGGATTGCCATATATAGCCTTGAAGATTATCTAGAACTTCTGAATTGACATTATTTGCCGTTGCGTGGCAAACTCTCTATATGTTTATCTTCTTTTCTTGGTTTTTTTTTTTTTTTTTTTTTCAAAAAGTACGAAAATCTAGCAAAAGATATTTTTTTTGTGAGGAGATATATTAGGTTGACCATAATTAGGTGGAACAAAATTGGGTGGCTTTTGTTATTTTCGATTGTTCTTTTGCAAAGAGTACATTTTTAAATCCAATAAATTCTGTGGGAGTGTCAAGAGGTTTGAAGAACCAGTCAAATGAAATATGCTTATTAGATGGCCTGCTATGGCTTTTTTTTTTCTTTTTTCCTTTCTGCCTTTTAATTTTGAAGGGAGGCTGCCATTGCCATGGCTAAAAAGCCTATAATTTGACTGGGAGGACTCTTTGATTGTTATTTATTACTTTATTAGTATGAGTTTGATGGCTGTTTATGGCCTGCCATTCCTTGAAAGAGATTAATACATATTTTGCTTGTGTCTCCTTTATTGTTCTTTTTTGAAGAATATATTTCTTTCGTATACAATTCATATTTTTGTCCGGCATAATGTAAATGGAATCTAACCATACATCATCACACACATATTGAATCACTGATTATGTGATCCCAATGGAACCAGTTAACTGAGAAATGAAAATTAATTATTGGAGTGATTACTTTAGAATAAATCTTAACTAGATGAGATTGTAACTGAACAAATCATCTCCCATCATCTAGTGATTTTCTTTATGGTCGAAAAAAGGAATCTATAGCTGTGCAAACCAGACAACAATACATATGGGATAACCAACCTCTACAATATCATAGTTAAACCATTCCGTAATTACTGAATGTTGCGAATCTAATCGTACTTATTTACGTGGATTCGTCACCATTAATAATACCAAAAAAATTAACTATTGCGTAACATTTTCTATGAGTATAAACGATTGCTGCGATCCAATTTATACACAAAAGCTCCCTAATCAATTCCGTCATCTAGTGATTTTTTTCTATGAGTATAAGAGACAATTGTAGCGCACATTTCGACAAGTGAATTTAGAGAGCCACACAAAAAATAAATTTAAAACATTTTAGAGAGAATGTAAGAATACCCGACTTAGGGAATTCATCACACCTTATGAGTGGCGTAGACACGCCATAATCATCGTCATGCTCATTTGCTGAAGGGTTTTCGTCGATATTTTTAACCATTCCAGATTTCAATTACACTACTCTTAGTGCCCGAATTTTCGAAATAGTTGCCCTCTCATGAAAGATATGTGAATATAGTTGACACAGAAGTGGCATTTACATTTTAAACTTTGAAGGCGCCCTCTATAGAATCAGAACGAATTGGTCATCAGCTGATCATCATCAGCCTGTGAAAGGGAGCGGGGGAGGTCACGATTTGAATTTTTGTTCAATTAGTATGCAATATACTGTATTCGTCTGGTTTTTTCTTCTTCTTTTTTTTTTTTTTTGGTTTTTGTTTGTAAGAAATCATTTGATTATTAATTTTCTCATTGAAGTTTTTAGCAGGCAATCATGCGTAGACATTATTTTTACTAACAAAAAAATATAACAATGAAAAGATGTCAACCAAAGTAAAGCAAAAACCTTGGGGAAAAATCAGACAGCATCAGATAGAGACAAATGTGGTACACGGGCTAGCCAACCTTGCACCATGTGTATAATCGGAAAATCTACCAAGTTTTCACGTAAAATAGCATATTGACTTTGTCTTTTCATTTTTTTTTTTAATCAAGGGTTTGATGTGTCAGATTTGTACAGGGCGATGGAGTTGAGTTGTGATCTTAAGAAGTTCTAAAATAAAGTTCTACTGTCTATCAAGTTTCTACCACTAATCCATTTGCATATATTTTGACTTGTGATATTTGTGTAGATAAGGTTAATCTCATGAATTGCCCTAATGAAATGAAACATCATGAAATGAGATCCCGCGGCTTCCGGACAAGGAGTATTTTTTTTTTTGAAATGATACCTGTTTATTAAGATATATACATAGTCTATTACAGTACATTCTATTATAAGTTAGATTATGTAATTCATGAACGAGACAAAGAGACTTAATCGTCCAGAACAAAATGGTTCTGAAACATACCATTGGTTCTTTGGCCTTATTTCTAGTGACACCGAAAAATTCAAATCAAGGTAAAGAAATATTGAGTGTTTTATTTTTTTTCGACGGACCAAATAATCTATGATAAACTTGAATTTTGGTAATTCGACTAAAAACATGAAGAAAAAAATATCGACAAGATGGAACAATTAATATATCAAGTTTTTTTTTTCATAAGATTAGTCAAAACCAAAGTGTTTTATGTAGTAAACATAAACGCGGTTCATTGCACTTGAAATAGTAGTAGTTTTATTTTAGAAATAAATTTGCATTTATCCAATGAATAATGTAGATCAGAAATCTTGTAAATTCCAATTTTAAACTTTTACTTAGGTGGAAAAAAAATACCGTTGACTGTAAATGACGAGGGAAAAATTGAGGAAATTCCAAAATCCATAGGAGTATAATTGTTCTAGAACAAGTTGGCGTTTAAGTGGTCAACATGGTATCGTACTTAGTACTTATTTCTTCCAATCTCTTCAAATACTGTACAAAGGAATTTCAGGGGTTGACCGACCCGGTGGACCGACCAGGATCCTTATGAATCGACTTTGCTTGCTCCCATAGAAATTCAAATCCTGAATAATGACGATAATGGCATAGTTGCTAATCTGACTCATTCTAAGGGTAAAATGAACCTAAGGACTCCGTCAAACCAAAAGGAAAAGGTCAATTTTTACATTTAGTTTAGTATAAT